ACGATTAATCACTGTTGTCGTATATACTATCCCATACATATATACCTCAGGGCTGCCTATACGAGCACTGGTTAACACAGCCAGGGAGAGAGATGTGAGTCAGTGAGCGAGGAGAGAGAGAGGCCAGGAGCTGCCAGATCTTTATATAGCCTGGGAGAGTGAGGCTACCTACCATGTTTTTCAGTTCCTCCCATGACGAGGAGAAATGTTATAATATTAACTTGGAAGGAGCAGAGTTAATGGTACGACTGAGCGGAACCTTGTCCCATATAAAAGTTCATTTTAAAACGTGTATTTTTTTCTTTATTGCCGGCAGTAAGTTATGTGTATCCTACATGAACTAACTGATGGATGGTTAATGAGGGTTTAAAGACTATCATCACACTAGGCTTATGAAGACTGGACGGTAACTCTTCACCAGCTAACAAAAATACTGAAATATACATTACACTCTCAGTATATATACCCCGAGACAAATACATCTCTCGGTATGTATATATCCTGTGAAATGCGTGAAATGCAGTAATTGGAAATTAAATACCTTAATCTGTATCACGACTGCTTTTTTTTGTGCAGATAAAAAATCTGTACGGCAGTTCGGGTTCTTTGAACGTCTTACCTGCAGTATATCTGGAGAGGGTTTCGGGGGTCAACGCCCCCGCGGCTCAGTCTGAGACCAGGCCTCGTGGTGGATCAGGGTCTGATCAACTAGGCTGTTACTACTGACCGCATGCAAACTCACGTATGCACCACAGCTCGACTGGTCAGGTACTGCCTTTAGATGCCTGTCCAGCGCCTTCTTGAAGACAACCAGGAGTCTATTGGTAATCCCCCTTATGTATGCTGGGAGGCAGTTGAACAGTCTTGGGCCCCTGACACTTAATGTGTTGTCTCTCAGTGCACTCGTGGCGCCCCTGCTTTTCACTGGGGGAATGTTGCATCTCCTGTCGAATCTTTTGCTTTCATAGGGAATGATTTTCGTGTGCAGGTTTGGTACTAATCCCTCTAGGATTTTCCATGTGTACAGTATCGTGTATCTCTCTCGCCTGTGTTCCAGGGAATACAGATCAAGGGCCTTCAACCGTTCCGAGTAATCTAGGTGCTTTATCGTACTTATGTGTGCCGTGAAAGTGCTTTGTACACTCTCCAGGTCAACAATTTCCCCTGCCTTGAAAGGAGCGGTTAGTGTACAGCAGTATTCCAGCCTAGAGAAAACAAGCTATTTGAAGAGAATCATCATGGGCTTCGCATCCCTAGTTTTGAAGGTTCTCACTATCCATTCTATCATTTTTCTAGCAGATGCATCGGTAGATACATTGTTGTTCTCTTTGAAGGTGAGATCCTCTGACATTATCACTCTCAGGTCCTTCACATTACTTTTTCGCTGTATTGTATGGTTAGAATTTGTTGTATACCCTGACACAGTTTTAATTTCCTCAAGTTTTTCATATCTGAGTAGTAGACTTGGTTGAATATTTTAAAATAAAGAATTAAACTAAGTCTGCCCGAAATGCCTAGCCATGCTAGGCGTTCTAGTGGTACACTCTGTGATCATTATTTAACTACATGTAAACCACACAACAACCAAATTCTGTAAATTCAACATTGTAATCTTTATAGAGAATAAACTTTGAATTTGAATTTGAATTTGAAAAATATATACTCAGTGGCCACTTTATTAGGTACACCTGCTCGTTAATGCAAATATTTAATCAGTTAATAACGTGGCAGCACCTCAGCGTCAAAGTATGCAGACACGGTCAAGAAGTTCAGTTGTTGTTTAGCCCAAACATCAGAATGGGGAAATGTGATGATCTAAGTGACTGTGTGATGATTGTTGGTGCCGGACTGGGTGGTTAGAGTATCTTAGAAATTGTTAATCTCCTGAGATTTTCATGCACAACAGTCTTTAGAGTTTACAGAGAATGGTGGGAAAAACAAAACATCTAGCGAATGGCAGTTCTGTTGACGAAAACCCCTCAAGGGAGGTTCCTTGATGCTGGTGAGGGGCTCTTGATCTAGGGAACTGGATCTGTGCTCCAGTTCCCTGAATTGAGCCTGAATAAACTGAGAAGGGCAAATAATTTTAATGTTCAGTGTAATGGGGAGCCCATCACTTTGGTTTCATCAGTAAAATATCTGGGAATCCCCTTTGACCCATGCATATCAGGAGAATTGATAGGGAACAGTGTAGTAAAGAAAGCGAATGCCAGACTGAAGTTCCTGTATAGACAAGCACAATGTCTACCTACTGAGGCTCGCAGGACCCTATGTCTAGCCTTTATACAATGCCATATGGATTACGCTTGCTCTTCATGGTGCTCTGTCTTGACAAAAAAAACTGAAAGACTGCAAATCACCCAGAACAAAATTGTAAGATTCATCCTGGGGCTGGGACCAAGAGAACATGTAGGCCAGGATGAATTACAGCAGTTGGATATGCTGAATGTTGAAGACAGAGTAAAACAACTGAAGCTAAATCATGTTTATAAAATTGCTCACAAACAGTGTCCAGAATATCTTGCTGTCAATTTTGTCAAGGTTGGAAACCAAAGCAATCATAGTACCAGGGGGAGAGAGCACAACTTTGTAGTACCCACAGTCAGTGGCCAGGCTTCAAACACCTTTTATTGTACAGCAATAAAGGAATGGAACAGACTACCCGCAAATGTCAAAGCCAGTCATAGCATGAACCAGTTCAAGAAGAGTGCCAAAAGGTGTCTGGTGAATGTAGCTACAGAAAGGGAGGAGAATGATTTTTTATTTTGTAGCTAACATACGTGTAAATTTTACCTTATTCCTAGTAATGACCCTCGTATTGTAGATAGTCTTAATGTAGTAGATAGTCTTTTTAGTATGATAATAAGATGTTATCTTCATTGTAGAATAATAAGAAAATATTATAACCTTTATATTATAATATTAAGGTAAAAGGACCCCAATGGAAATAAGTCACTCTGTCTGACTTTTTTGGGTTATCCCAGGTTCTCTACACATATGCTGCTATGTATGATAATCTATGTAACTGTATTTGTGTATACCTGAATAAACTTACTTACTAACACCTTCCATCCCCCCACATGCGCTGTATAATCCTCCGGGTTAGCGCTTCCCTGTGATTATAATAATAATTTGAACGAAAATGTCCTGTTAATAAATGAGATCAGAGGAGAATGGTCAGACTGGTTCAAGTTGGCAGAAGGCGACAGTAACTCAAATTACCATGCGACTTTTCAACTTTCCCCGCTCTCTCCCCATAATAAATGTATAATAATAATAATATCTTTATTTCTACCAGTACATGTACAAGGTATACAGGCCTAGCTGACATCAATGACATACTTGTGGAAAATTGCATTTATCTGGATGTAATTCATAAGGTACATACCAGTAAATGGTAACACAGATAATTATTATTTATCAAAGTTACTTAGACAAGTAGGAATTTGGGACATCTAGGTCGCAAAAATGTCCCCCTTCGATACCTACCACTGTCATATCCACAAGTTGCTCTAGACCTATAATTACAAATGAAATGTACATACACCAGGAATTCTGGTAAATATATAAATTTGTGGACTGTATAGTAAAATTAATAAATGATTACATATGCACAGTTATATAACAGAAGGAGAATATATCTTAATATCACTCACCAATTTGACTGGAGATTAATGTGTATACTCAAAAACCTCATTCTAACCAAATTTATGAAGATAATGCTGGCCAGAATTATAACACAAATTTAGATAGCTTATCTGAGGTTCCTGGAGCTGTCTTGTCCAGTCGTCTGATATCTTCCGTTATACAGGACTGCACATCCAACAATTTCGGCTCCTATTTGAGAGGTTTCAGCCCAATTTAACCTCTCGAGCGACGAAAATTCTTCGATTATTCACTAACGTTTGTGTTGACTAGGTCAAACATGGCGAGTCTCTTCTGCGCAGGCGCAGAATTTCCCATTTTTTATAACATAAATTTTATTAAATACAATGTATTACACTAATTTACATAAAAAATACAATGTGTTTTTTTCCGGAAATACATTATTTTCCACAATACTACTATATAGAAAGCCCCTTGTTACGCTGAGCATTTTGGGCAAATTAGGTCAGTTTTGTCCCAGGATGCGACCCGCACCAGTCGACTAACACCCAGGTACCTGTTTTACTGATGAGTGAACATAGACAACAGGTGTCAAGAAACACGCCCAATGTTTCTACCCTGGCTGGGAATCGAACCCAGAACCGTGCCTTGTGAAGCGAGAGCTTTTTAGCCGCCAGGCCAGGGGTCAAGGGATGACCCTACCCAGTACTAGCAGGGTGTACTTAATAAAGCGGCCACTGAGTGTACATCTCTTATTAACAAAATAGTATACATCACATTTATGTTTAATTAATGCACACCCACCATGAGGGATGGCTCGCCTGAAACATTATTATTATTATTATTATTATTATTATTATTATTATTATTATTATTATTATTATCATTATTATTATTGGTGTTGCTGGTATCATTAATATTATTATTATCAATTTATTTTTAATAATAATAATAAAAATAATAATAATAATAATAATAATAATAATATAATAATTTAATTAATAATAATAATAATAATAACAACAACAACAACAATGAACCAATCAGAGCGAGGCTGGCGCCTAGATCGACCAATCAGGACAAAGAGCGGCCAAGGTTTACTAACTTGAAGGAATCATTGGAATAATCTCACACTTACTTCAATAAAAACACGAAGTATGTCTTTATTCAAGTTTTACATACGTAAATTTACATTTACACAATGACCTTGAGGTCACATACATGTTATTCACACACATAAATGTAGTAAATTATGTAGATTTAACGTAGGATGTGATGAAAAAAAAATGTTCTCCATTTATTTCTTGTAATAATTTGTCTCTTTCATGTATTTAATTTTTAAATTATTATTAGTTGTTACTGCATGTCTAAAGTGGCTCGTTGGGCTCACAAGCGACGGACCAGGGTTCCATCCTGGGGGACCCCTCAAGGGAGGTTCCTAGACGCTGGTGAGGGGCTCTTCATCTAGGGAATTGGATCTGTGCTCCGGTTCCCAGAATTGAGCCTGAATACCTTCCATCCCCCCACATATGCTGTATAATCCTATGGGTTTAGCGCTTCCCTGTGATTATAATAATCCGTCCTGGGGGTGGTACTCGTTTCATTGACACCTAAGCTTATTTAGGTACAGTTGCACAATTTTTGGATGAATTACATATGATTTGCGTAGTAACGTATGAATCTCCAGAGATAATGATTCCAATGTTCATCTAGCAGCAGTAAGGTTCCCGGGTGTTAGCTGTGTTGTGGGTGGCATCCTGGGGAGGAGCAACTAAGGAACCTAATAGAACTAAGCCACACTGGCTTTCTTGGGTTATTTAAGATCAGATTTGTTTGGATTTTTAACCTCGAGGGTAAGCCACTCAGGATAACCCAAGAAAGAACTGCCCGAAATGCCTAGGCATGCTAGTGGCCTTCTTGTAATTCATATTTTATAATATGTAAACCACAAACTGTAATTAATATACTATAGTATGTAAAACCAAATTATAATCTTAACAGAGAAATAAACATTTCAGTTTCAGTTCAATTTGAATTTCAGTGACTCAAGAAATCGTAATGACACGATTGACAAATAAACCATAGGTTTTGAGACTCTTATGACCCGGGTTCAACCCGGCTGGGGTATATGTTGAATTTCAGTCAGTGCATCAGTGAAGACTCTTATTTCAATTGGGCCCTTCAGTCTTACCATATGATGCATGGCTATGTATGATAAATCTTTGTATATAATCTTTGTAACTGTATTTGTGTAACCTAACAAACTCTACTTATCCCCAGGATGCAACCTACACCATCACTAACACCATATCCCCCAGGATGCAAACTACACCAGTCAACTAACACCGTGTACCCCATGGCTCGTATTGCTGTGGATCAATTTCAAATATCATTCATCTCAGTCATCCATCAATCATCACACACCACCACCATCCTCACTGTGCTTGTTACTTGTATATTATATTTTAATTATCACAAGCAGATATTTACCAAATACAAATATGACAATATATATAATTTCTCCAATTTTCAATGGAAGATTTTTCTTCACCTCTAGGAACCAGTGAAATAAGTTGCTTTCTTTGATTTTTTTGGATTACTCTAGTAATTTATATGTGTGAATATGGTTTTGAGACACAGGTACAACATAGGAACAATTATCATACATAATGTAAATTTTTCAATGTACTCCACAAATTATTAAGTTAGATGAAATATTGCTTCAGCAATACATGAAGTTATTACAATCTGTAGAAGTAATTTGTATTGCTTTGCTTATTTAAATCCCTACAGTGTCAGTATTAAGCACTATTAATTTTCTGTTAATTCACAATAATGTTAAAAAAAAAGTAGTACACATAAAAGTACTCTGTAGTATACTTAATAAAGTACTGTACACAATTTACAGATATACTGCCATAAACATTTAAAAATTTTACCAGTGGATTTGCCAATAATTTTAAAAGTTCATCATATCAAAGGTTTACTGTGCAGTGCAATGTAGCAAGGTCAGTAACTGACAGCAACTTGAGGGAACAGCAACACTGGAATCTTGTTACAGAGGGCACCTCCACAACCTTCTTGCTAACTCTTGGGCATGACCTACTTTCTCTGCTGGATCCCTTTCATCTGCTGTAAACTCATCTGACTCCAGTATACAGCAAAATTTACACCTAGATAGCATCAACCCATGAAACGTTCCGTCCATATTGTACGATGCAACACTACTTCAGATTCACCAAGACTATTATACGCAACATCTGTTCCTTGGCTAAGAGACTAATTCCCTCATCCTCTACTGTCTTGTGTGTACAGTGGAGCCTTGGTTTTCGTTTTTAATTCTTTCCAGAGAGTCTGATGAAAACCAAATTCGATGAAAACTAAAGCAGTATTTCCCATAAGAAATAATGTAAATCCAATTAATCTGTTCCAGACACCCAAAAATATTAACAGAAATACATTTTATAGGGAATAACTATAGTTTTACATACAGAAAAAATGAGAAATAAATATAAAGCACTAATTTTAATGGATAAACGAACATTTAAATTAGTTTTACCTTTGTTGAAGACTCTTGTTGAAGTTTTTCTTGAACACTTGGGGGATTTTCAGGTGATACACCAGTAAAGGCTTCAGTTAGAAATCCCCACTAGCGTTACCACAGAACAAAAGAGTTAGCCTATCCTTCATAGGCTTGTGTCCTGGCAGTGCCTTTTCCTCTTGTGTGATGTAGGCCATCTTTGGCATTTTCTTTCAAGAGAGGCCTGTTTCGTCACAACTGAAAACTCGTTGGGGAGGAATCCTTCAGCCTCTACATACTCCTTTAATTCATCAACGAATTCTTCGGCCGCACGGAGGGGAGAGGGAAGAGAGGTTATCTCTACCACCATCACTACCACCCTCTGCCACCATCACTACCACCCTCTACCACCACCACTACCACCCTCTACCACAACTCGCAAAATCGATTGCAAACAAACCACCTCTACCACCATCACAACCACCCTCTACCACCATTGCTACCATCCTCTACCACCATCATTACCACTCCTCTACCACCATCACAACCACTACCACCCTCTACCACCATCACTACCATCCTCTACCATCGCTATCACCCTCTACCACCATCACAACCACTACCACCATCACAACCACTACCACCCTCTACCACCATCACAACCACTACCACCATCTACCACCATCACAACCACTACCACCCTCTACCATCATCACAACCACTACCACCCTCTACCACAACTCGCAAAATCGTAATGACACGATTGCAAACAAACCACCTCTACCACCATCGCTACCATCCTCTACCACCATCGCTACCACCCCTCTACCACCATCGCTACCATCCTCTACCACCATCGCTACCACCCCTCTACCACCATCACAACCACTACCACCCTCTACCACCATCACTACCACCCTCTACCACCATTGAATTCTATCATGTTTCTCACCTTCTTTATCAGACGGCTGGCACTCGGAATTTTCAGACCCCAAGGTGGCTTATTTAGCAATCGCACTCAATAAACAAGCACAAAAAACAATCGATTACAGGTATTACAAAATGTTTCATATGAAGGTGCAGGGTAACGTTCATTTGATGATAAACAAAGCCAGACAGTTTTAGAATTCGTGTGTGGGATGCTTTGCATGGCCGCATTCAGGCAGACACATTTGGTACGGCAGATGAAAACTTAGGTGACAGACGAAAACTAGGACAATATTTTGACGAAAAAGCTTGTCAAAAACCAAATTCGATGAAAACCAGGGCAAACGAAAACCAAGGTTTCACCGTATGTATTTCTGCAAGGTTGAAGGACTGATTACCTCCTATAATACAGTCTTCCGTTATGCCCCTGTATCTTGTGATAAAGCCTCTGGTTTGTGAAATATCTACAGAAAAAAGATATCTACATGTTGCACATGTGTCTAATTCAACTAGAGTTAAATGAACATGACTTCGCACATTTAGGACACCTTTTATGCAGATGTTTCAGTCCTGGGACTATGATCATTGCAAATACATAAGGAGTTTTAGAGAATTCAGGATATATAGTGTGGCCAGAGAGAGGGAGAGTAGTAGTATTAGTAGTCAGGTGCAGGGCACTGAAAGTAAAAAAAAAAGGTTTACTGTATGGCTGTCACATGGCAGTCTTGAGGAAGTAAAGTATGTTCTAAGAGCACATGGGTTAAAAGTGTGGAAATGTTAAAAAATGCTGGCAGTAATAACATCTCCATCAACTGTTTATTAACATCCTCTAAAAGAATTTTGATTTTGCTTCTAACTCTCAAAATTTAAGGCAAGATGCTGTGGAAATCATTTGTTAGCAGTTTTGTAGATATGGATTATAATAACTATAACACTTGATCTGCCATGCAAATATTTATAATTTTTGCAGTTCATCATGTCCTATGCTGTATCTTGCACCCATAGCCAGGATAACTTTTTCCCCTCTTATATTAGATAACTTTCAATTTGTTTTCAGTATTTTATCAAGTAGGGTGCTATGATGAGCAGGAGTAACCTACGTGACGTAATGCAAGCCCCAAACACAGGGTTTTGCATGCCTCAGCAAGTCTTCATCAGTGACAAGTCATCTTGTCTCGAGGAAAGAGGGTGCCTTGATACCTGTAAAAGGCTGCAAATTGAAAAAAATTGGAGCTACCCTTCCTTGAATCAGACCTGATTACCATTCCATTCCCTAGGAGCTGTATGATCCCTTCAGGTTTAATGCTTCTTCATGAAATGTACTAATAAAAGTAATCTAACCAGGATTCTGAAATAAAAATTGTACCAGGCATAATTTCAGATCTTAGAATTTTAATTTCAGTTTTTAAAATTATACTAGCACCAACATGTATGAAATGAAATGTAGACTTGCTCTTACTTCAACTATCACATTCCATTTCTGCATTGTCCAGAAGTTGTTTGTCATCACAGAATTGATTGGCTTTTATGTTTTCTGTGCTTAACACTATCAGTGTTAAGATGCATTTATAATTCAAACTGAAATTAAACACCATTACATGGATAACTAATATTGTCATCAACCCATCTCTCTTAATTTTCACATGTCTTGTTATTTGGATCAGTCTTACATTGTAGACATAAGGATGTTGTATTTTTATTTTTTTTTTAATTTATGTGCTGTATGTTTTATGGGCTGTGGTTTTCTTTATACACTTAGTCTCTATGGACTCCAGGTAAGCATGTACTACGTATGAAATCAATGCTAACATCACTAATTTGTTGTGCTTTTCTTAATTTTTTTTTAAATCAGTACTGTATAGTGTATATGCATGCATAGTACAACTTTTGTGACTCACGAAATCGTAATGACATGATTGCAAACAAACCATACCATGGGTGAGGATAGAACCTGCGATCAGACAGTCATAAAACTCCAGACTGACACATTAGCCACTGGGCCAGCTGGCTACAATAAGATTCATCCAACTAGGTGTATTGATACACCATAGGAAGGTTAGCATAGGCACCACTGTGACCACAAATGCAAGTTTTTACATTTGCATTTGTGGTCACAGTGGTGCCTATGCTAACCTTCCTATGGTTTATAAATATGCCTAGTTAGATGAATCTTATTGTAGCCAGTATGCTGTATTCTTTTCAAGCTTGATGGACTAATCACACCGACTCAAGGCTAAGGAATTGATTACCTCAAACTCCTCCGTTCTTCACCATTCTCCTTGCCAGTTGGCGTAGTGGCTAACGTGTCAGTTTGGAGTTTTATGACTCTCTGATTGTGGGTTCTATCCCTGCCCGTAGTATGGTTTGTTTACGACTATTGTGTTTGAAGTTTATTCAGTACTGTATTATCTCCTTGCATGTGTATGCCATAAAAAAAAAATTAGTACGAGTATCATATGTTCATCTTGATTCCTGCTTACCTTGGAAAAAAAAATTGGTAATTTTAGATTCCTATTTCATTTTAGTTCATAATTTCACAAAACTTGATCTTAATTTTGGTGAAGACTACAGTTTCAGCAATTTTGATCCTTATTGCAACTTCCAAGCCTATTTTGATGTCTTAAGTGTTATGTTCTGGTGTATCTAATCAGTTATTTTTATTGCAGGCCGAGATGAATGGAGAACGTCTAGTTTCTCACCTGCAACTGTTGGATGTACCAGGGACTGATCACTTAAAGGGGGAAAACTATGACTGGCTCTTCCTTGAAAATCCCTCATCCCCATTACCTGCATTTCTGGAGTGGTTTACTGAGAACATATCGGCTAATGACGTTCTCACAGATGAGGATTTAAATGAGTAAAGTTATCTAGCGTATATTTTATTTTTTATAATTTTTAGGACATTACATATATGAAATAATTTTTCAAATGTCCATACTCGTATATGTAAATTATCCATTATGTCATTCCACAGTGGAGTGACTTAATGAATAATTTTTTTTTTTTCAACAAACCGGCCATATCCTACCAAGGCAGGGTGGCCCAAAAAGAAAAATGAAAGTTTCTCATTTTAAATTTAGTAATTTATACAGGAGAAGGGGTTACTAGCCCCTTGCTCCTGACATTTTAGTCGCCTCTTACAACACGCATGGCTTACGGAGGAAGAATTCTGTTCCACTTCCCCATGGAGATAAGAGGAAATAAATGACAACAAGAACTAGAAAGAAAATAGAAGAAAACCCAGAGGGGTGTGTATATATATGCTTGTACATGTATGTGTAGTGTGACCTAAGTGTAAGTAGAAGTAGCAAGACGTACCTGTAATCTTGAATGTTTGAGACAGAAAAAAGACACCAGCAATCCTACCATCATGTAAAACAATTACAGGTTTCTGTTTTACACTCACTTGGCAGGATGGTAGTACCTCCCTGGGTGGTTGCTGTCTACCAACCTACTACCTGTAATAATGAATAATTATATATTTGAATATGAACATTTGAGAAATTATTTCATACATGTAATGTCCTAAAAATTTTAATTATTTTGTAATTTGATGTATGATATTTTGTATTTGTTTTATTTGTAATTATTATTGTATATTTAAATAGGTAGGACCACTCACTTTCCGTCTAAACTGTTGTATCTGAGCGCCTCTGCAAAGACTGATTATGTATGAGTGATGATGAAAGTGTTGAATGATGATGAAAGTTTTTTTTTTTTTTTTTGGGTCACCCTGCCTTGGTGGGAAATGGCCAACTTCTGAGTCAGCAGATCAATGGTAGTTTGTTAGTCAATTTAATATAGAAGAAGTAAATTTAGTTAAAATATTATACATACTTTATATAAAAAAATTAAAGTCACAATACCATTCCTGGAGCGATTCACCAAATATTTGCACTTCGACAATTTTTTGGTCTGTCATGGACCACTGTAATGTCACAACCATAATGACCAGACAGTGGGCCAGAATGGACCGAAATGTCATCATTAGGGTCTTCTAAGTGGGTTTTTGGTGAGATATATATACATGGTGGTCTTCTGAAAATATCGTCTTATGCAGCAGTGTAGGCAACCAGGCTGGTAGACATTGACCTTCCTAGGAGGTACACAACTATCCTCCTGTTGTATGAGTGTGAAATGAAAGCCTGTTAAACTTTTTGCACTCTGGCAGAATTGCTGGCCCTTGCTTTCCTTCTCAAACACATAAGATACCTGATAAATCTTACAAACTTCTGTTAGCATTCAGTATTCCTTGTCTTTATTTTCTTGTGTTCTTCTTAGTAGTTCTTAATACATATTGCCTTTCCAATTTGAGGTTTGATCTAAGTCAGGGCTGCTGGAGCAATGATCCATGGAGCCATTAATAGAGATTTTAACAGTATATACTATACAAGAGTGATTGAAGAATATAATAGTCTGTGTTGCATTAGTCATAATTTGTGACAGGTGTGCTTAAGGGAAATGTTGTGAACAGTAATATTGCTAAGGTATGTTTTTAAAATGTATTCAGTATTTTACCTTGTATCTAAATCTATTTATTGTCTTGTATTATAGAGTAGAAATAATACTGATACATTGAAAAGCTACAGACTCCACACTACTGAAACTTGCTGAGGATTCATTATAGCTTCAGACACATGTATAATGGGACTTTTTTGATCCTGAATGTACAGTATGGGAAAGTATTATTAATAAATAAATTAATGAAATATTAGGAAGCAAGCTGATGAAACATTAAATACAGGAATATAAAAGGAAGAGCAAGGCCTAAATAGGAGAGAATGAAGAATAAAGTAGTACAGTATAGTAATTATAGTACTTTTAGTTAAATTAAGTTTTATTTAGAATACATAGATGTTGTTGGTATGCATATACTGCATTACCAGTATATAGATTTAACCTAAGATAACCAGTAAAGTCAGACAGTATTACATCATTCCATTATTAGACCTATTGGTTAAAATTCTTCACTCGTCAACTTTGGTGAGTGCCAGAAAATTAATCGGCAAATTAGGACGATAGCATATTTTCTTGTGGACTTCCCTTAGATATTTTCCTGTAATCATGCCAGATATGAAGAACTAATGTCCAAGGGAGAAGTACTGACAGGCTATCATCTGGAGAAGATGGAAGCCTGCCTCTCAGGATTGCCTGTAGCTTTCAGTACATCTGAGGAAGACAGCCAGAAAGATGTGCTCACTCTGGAGGAATGCAAGAGACTGAAGGACCAGTTAAAGGTTCTGGTAATGAGAAGGAACCAATTAAGGTATTGTCAGCTTTGTGAGATATTACAGTGTTCTGGGAATGTAAATTTGATTTTAGCAGTATTTTTATTTTTTCAACATGTTGGCCATCTCCCACCAAGGCAGGGTGACCTAAAAAGAAAGAAAATCCACAAAAAAGAAAATACTTTCATCATCATTCGACACTTTCACCTCACTCATACATAATCACTGTCTTTGCAGAGGCGCCCAGATACGACAGTTTAGAAGTATATATAAAGTATAACATACCCCTCCCATAATGCTAATATCCCAAACCCCGCCTTTAAAGTGCAGGCATTGTACTTCCCATTTCCAGTACTCAAGTCCAGCTAACCAGTTTCCCTGAATCCCTTCACTAAATATTACCCTGCTCACACTCCAACAGCTCGTCAGGTCCCAAAAACCATTCGTCTCCATTCACTCCTATCTAACATGCTCACACACACTTGCTAGAAGTCCAAGCTCCTCACCCACAAAACCTCCTTTACCCCCTCCCTCCAACCTTTTCGAGGACTACCCCTACCCCGCTTTCTTTCCCTGCAGATTTATACGCTCTCCATGTCATTCTACTTTGATCCATTCTCTAAATGACCAAACCACATCAACAACCCCTCTTCAGCCCTCTGACTAATACTTTTAACTCCACACCTTCTCCTAATTTCCACACTTCGAATTTTCTGCATAATATTTACACCACACATTGCCCTAAGACAGGACATCTCGCCTCCAGCCACCTCCTCACTTCAGTATTTAAAACCCAAACTTCACACCCATATAAGAGTGTTGGTGCCACTATACTTTCATACATTCTCTTCTTTGCCTCCATGGATAATGTTTTTTGTCTTCACAGATACCTCAGCGCACCACTCACCTTTCTTCCTTCATCAGTTCTATGGTTAACCTTATCCATCATAAACCCATCTACTGACAAGTCAACTCCCAAATATCTGAAAACATTCACTTCTTCCATATTCCCTCTCTCCAATGTGATATTCAATTTTTGTTTATCTAAATCGTTTGATACCTTCATCACCCTACTCTTATTTATGTTCACTTTCAACTTTCTACCTTTACACACCCTCCCAAACTCATCCACTAACCTTTGCAACTTTTCTTTAGAATCACCCATAAGCACAGTATCATCAGCAAAAAGTAACTGTGTCAACTCCCATTTTGCATTTGATTCCCCATAATTTAATCCCACCCCTCTCCCGAACACCCTAGCATTTACTTCTTTTACAACCCCATCTATAAATATATTAAACAACCATGGTGACATTACACATCCCTGTCTAAGACCTACTTTTACTGGGAAGTAATCTCCCTCTCTCCTACACATCCTAACCTGAGCCTCACTATCCTCATAAAAACTCTTTACAGCATTTAATAGCTTAATACCTATTCCATATACAGTGGACCCCTCCGGCAACGATTTTAATCCATGCATGAGGGGTAATTGTTATCAAATAATCGATATGAATGAAATTTTCCCCATAAGAAATATGAAATAATTATTAATTCGTGCAAACATCCCACAACGAGCAGGGTGAAAAAAGAAAAAAATTCTTTAACAATGAAAATTAATTTTAATCACAACAAAACCCTCACTCACACATAATCTTTATTAAGGGCGATGGATGGGGAGGGGAAAAGAACAGTTTAGAATTACTGTGACCCCCAATAACCTTCCATTGGCGAGGTACCCAATATGTTTGGGTTATTTTTTTTTAATGCATAGGAGTTGGGGGTCAAGGACTAATCTATCAAATATTCCATTGTGGAAAAATTCGTCAGTACTGCACCTTGACTCATACTTCTGGAGAAAAATATCGTTAAGGTGGCCGCCTGATACTGTTAAAAATAACTGTATCCCTCAACTGCTAATACCAAACCCCTCCTTATAGAGTGCAGTGATTTGTACTTCAAATTCCAGAACTCAAGTTCGGTTATATAAAATAACCTGTTTCCCTGAATCCTTCACTAAATTACTCGCTCACATCCAACAGCTCGCACGTTCCCAAATACCATTTGTCCATTCCACCATCCCCACACCCAACACTGGAATTCCAACCCCTCAACCACAACCTTTTAACCCCTTCCCCAACCTTTTGAGGACATTTTTTTTTTTTACATCTGCCCGTTTCCACCGAGCAGGGTGACCAAAAAAGAAAGAAATACTTTCATCCTTCCACATTTCACAATACAATATCACTGTTTTTGCAGAGGTGCTCAGAACACAATAGTTTAGAACATATACGTAGAAAAGTTACACAACATATCCCTACATCTAAATTGAAAACCTCTTTAGGTGCGGATTGATCCATTTCGGACAAAACTCCCTAATAAAATATGTTCCCTAATCCCTTCACTAAATATTACCCTGCAACATCAACAGTCAGTTCCCAAACCATCATCCTTTCTCCTATCGAACATGCTATCAACCCTGACTGGAAGTCCAAGCCCCTGGCCCAAAAAACTCCCTTAACCCCTTCCTTCCACCTTTCGAGGACACCCCTACCCCGCCTCTTTATCCCCAAAATTTAATGCTCCTAATCTTACTTTTCATTCTCTAATAAATGTCCAAACCCTCACAGCCCCTTCTTCACATAATTTTAATCCACACCTCTAATTTACTCCGAGTTTTCTGCTAATATTACACCGCACATTGCCTTAGAAAAGGACATCTTCCACTTCCTTCCAACCGCCTCCTCGCGTTCTTCAAACCCAAGTTCACACCATATAAAGTGTTGTACTACTATACTTTCATACTTCCCTTCTTTGCCTCCATAGATAAAGTTTTTTGACTCCACATAACCTCAAAACTTTATAAAACTGGTGCTTAAAATTGCGTGGATGTTTGTGCGGATGACAAAAACAATATTGCGATTTTTATGAATAAAAAAGTTGGATGTCCTGGCCCTAAGCGAAACAAAGCTGAAGGGGAGGGGAGTTTCAGTGGGGGAATAAATGGGGTTTAATTGGTATCTGAGAGAGTTAGAGCAAAGGAGGGTAACAGTATTGTTAAATGATCATTATGGAAAGGGGAAAAAGAATATGAATGTGTAAATTTAAGAATTGGATTAAAGTAAGGTTTGGGGGAAAAGTGGGTCAATAAGCGTGTATGCACCTGGGAAGGAGGGAAGTAGAGGGGGAGAGAGATTTTTGGGAGATTTAAATGAAGTTTAGGACCCTTTTAACCAATGAGAGAGTAATTGGGTAGGGACCTGAATGCAAAGAGGGAAACTTTTAGAGAGGGGTGTAGGGGGGAAATTTGGGGTCCCAAATGTAAATGAAATGGGACCCCTTTTATTGAACTTTCCCTAAAGTGTTTCACAACATTGTCAGGTACGGGTTTCCAACACGGCTTGCAATAGCGTGTGGGGGTTTTTTCTCCAGAAGGTTTGCACTTCAAGCCACTTTGCACAGATTTTTTTTTCTTTTGTATGGCAACTTCTTTTCAATTTCCTCTCCCCCCTCCTCTGAACCTTTTCCCCAGGCTGGCCTCTTGCTTTTGAAGTTGATCTATCAGCCACATTGGTTTTCTTCATTGTCCTCCCCACCAACTTTTCCCCACATCCCCCACTAACCCCCAAACCCCAAGGACTTTTCCCAATCCCAAAATGGATTCCTAAACGGCATAATCCTCTCAGGTTGCCTAAAACCCTTCAAATCCCTTTTGTCTACACATTCGGCCACAGTTTTTTTTCCAAGCAAGTTCAAGGTCCTCTTGTCCTTCCCCCCCAAGCCTTACCTATAAGGTTTACACAATTGAGGATATTAAAGTGATCTCTCCAAAACTCTCTTAGAGTCAGTTGAGTTTCTGAGGACATTACAAAGCACCTTTCAAACAGAGCTTTTGTGTACAGTTTCTTGAATTTGGGAAATAACCTCTGGTCCATGGGCTGCAGGAGAGGAGTGGTATTGGAGGCAAAAACTTCACCTTAATGAAGCTCATGTCCCCAAAAAAGTCGCTCTCCACGCCCTGAGGATGAACCAGGGCATTGTCTAACACCAGGAGGCACTTAAGTTTCTAATTTCTTTTCAGTTAGGTAATCTTAAACATTGGGGGCAAATGCATGGTGTAACCATTTTATGAAAAATTCCCCTAGTGACCATGCCTTACTTTTTGCCCTCCACAGCACACACAAATTTTATCCTTGAGGACATTTTTTTGCCTGAATGCTCTGGGATTTTTCAGAGTGATACACTAATAAAGGCTTCACTTTGCAATCCCCAGTACATTGGAACACATGAGAAGAGAAAAGCCTGTCTTTCATGGGCTTATGTCCTGGGAGTGCCTTTTTCCTCCTGAGTAATGTAGGTCCTGTTTGGCATTTTCTTCCAAACAGGCCTGTTTCATCACAATTAAACACTTGTTCGGGTTTTCAGTCCTTCAGTTTCATGACTCCTTGAATTCCGCACATATTTTTCAGCCGCTTTGTGGTCCGAACTGGCAGCCCACCATGCCTTATCACACTATGAAGCCACTTACCCCTTCTTAAATCTCTCAAACCAACCTTTGCTGGCCTTAATTCACTCACATCATCACTAGTTGCAGGCATTTTTTTAATTAAATCCTCTTGCAACTTCCTAGCCTTTTCACATATAAATTGCTTGAGAGACGCTATCTCCTGCAAAGCTTTTTTTTCATTTATCCACACCAATAAGAGTCTCTCAACATCTTCCATCACTTGCGATCTTTGTTTCGAAAAACACAGTTAAACCTTTGGCAAGAACAGCTTCCTTGATTTTCTTTTTGGTCCCACAATAGTAGCGATGGTTGATTGGGGTTTTCTTGTAAAACTTGACTAGGTCGGCGATACGCACTCCACTTTCATACTTATCAATGATCTCTTTTTTCATTTAATGGGAATTTTTTACCCTTATTGGTGTACGGTTGGCACTAGAAGCTTTCCTTGGGGCCCATGGGTCACTTTTTTTCCAGAAACACACCGAAAACACTGTAATAAAAAACGAAAAAATTCCCCAGTGTATGCTTGGATGTTACCGCGGAGGCTGGCTGGTAAACAATGGCACGGGTGGCACATGTGAGGCTGGCTGAGGGCGCACATTGGACGCGTCTCGGACGAAAATCGGTGAGCGTGTTTTTAATCGGTATGCGCGGCAAAAATTTTGCGATTAAAGTAAGCGGTATGCGAAATAATCGCTATGTGATGCCATCATTATGCGGGGGTCCACTGTACTTGCAACATCTGCCATATTGCTCCCCTATCCACTCTATCATATGCCTTTTCTAAATCCATAAATGCAATGAAGATTTCCCTACCTTTATCTAAATACTGTCCACACATTTTTTTTTTCTCAACAAGTCAGCCATCTCCCACCGAGGCAGGGTGACCCAAAAAGAAAGAAAATCCCGAAAAAGAAAATACTTTCATCATCATTCAACACTTTCACCTCACTCACACATAATCACTGTTTTTGCAGAGGTGCCCAGAATACAACAGTTTAGAAGTATACAGTGGACCCCCGCATAACAATCACCTCCGAATGCGACCAATTATGTAAGTGTATTTATGTAAGTGCGTTTGTACGTGTATGTTTGGGGGTCTGAAATGGACTAATCTACTTCACAATATTCCTTATGGGAACAAATTCGGTCAGTACTGGCACCTGAACATACTTCTGGAGTGAAAAAATATCGTTAACCGGGGGTCCACTGTATACATATAAAAAATACACACTGTATCCCTCCAAACTGCTAATATCCCAAACCCCTCCTTTAGAGTGCAGGCATTGTACTTCAAATTTCCAGGACTCAAGTTCGGTTGTATAAAATAACCTGTTTCACTGAATCCCTTCACTAAATATCACCCTGCTCACACTCCAACAGCTCGTCAGGTCCCAAATACCATTTGTCTCCATTCACTCCTATCTAACACTTACGCACGCTTGCTGGAAGTCCAAACCCCTCACCCACAACACCTCCTTTACCCCCTTCCTCTAACCTTTTTGAGGACACTTTTTTTTTTTTTTTTTTTTTTTTTTTTTTTTTTTTTTTTTTTTTTTTTTCAACAAGTCGGCCGTCTCCCACCGAGGCAGGGTGACCCAAAAAAAGAAAGAAAATACTTTCATCATCATTCAGCACTTTCACCTCACTCACACATAATCACTGTTTTTGCAGAGGTGCTCAGAACACAATAGTTTAGAAGCATATACGTATGTATAAAGATACACAACATATCCCTCCAAACTGCTAATATTTCGAAACCCCTCCTTTAGAGTGCAGGCATTGTACTTCCCATTTCCAGGACTCAAGTCCGGCTATATAAAATTAACTGGTTTCCCTGAATCCCTTCACTAAATATTACCCTGCTCACACTCAAACAGATCATCAGGTCCCAAATACCATTCATCTCCATTCACTCCTATCGAACACGCTCATGCACGCCTGCTGGAAGTCCAAGCCCCTGGCCCACAAAACCTCCCTTACCCCTTCCTTCCAACCTTTTCGAGGACGACCCCTACCCCGCCTTCCTTCTCCCACAGATTTAAATGCTCTCCATGTCATTCTACTTTGATCCATTCTCTCTAAATGTCCAAACCACCTCAACAGCCCCTCTTCAGCCTAATACTTTTATTACTCCACACCTTCTCCTAATTTCCACACTCCGAATTTTCTGCATAATATTTACACCGCACATTGCCCTTAGACAGGACATCTCCACTGCCTCCAACCGCCTCCTCACTGCTTCATTCACAACCCAAGCTTCACACCCATATAAGAGTGTTGGTACTACTATACTTTCATACATTCCCTTCTTTGCCTCCATAGATAACGTTTTTTTACTCCACATATACCTCAATGCACCACTCATCTTCTTTCCCTCATCAGTTCTATGATTAACCTCATCCTTCATAAGTCCATCCGCCGACACGTCAACTCCCAAGTACATGTATCTGAAAACATTCACTTCTTCCATACTCCTCCTCCCCAATTTGATATCCAATTTTTCTTTATCTAAATCATTTGATACCCTCATCACCTTACTCTTTTCTATGTTCACTTTCAACTTTCTATCTTTACACACACTCCTGAACTCATCCACTAACCTTTGCAATTTTTCTTTCGAATCTCCCATAAGCACAGTATCATCAGCAAAAAGTAACTGTGTCAATTCCCATTTTGTATTTGATTCCCCATAATTTAATCCCACCCGAGGACACATATATGCTTCAATATACAGTGGACCCCCGGTATTCGATGGCATCGGTATTCGATAAATCCGGTATTCGATGCATTATATCACAAAAAATTTTCCTCGGTATTCGATTGAAAACCCAGTATTCGATACGATTCGTACGAGACCTGTCCACATGTGGCCTGAACTGCCCCTTGTGTGCCAGTGTTTACAAGCCAGCCAGTGTGCGCGCATCTAAGGATACATTCGGTACATTCCATATTATCACTGTGTTTGGTGCTTGTTTCTGCAAAATAAGTCACCATGGGCCCCAAGAAAGCTTCTAGTGCCAACCCTGTGGTAAAAAGGGTGAGAATTAATATGGAAATTAAGAAAGATTTTGAAGGCTTTGGGGCTAACCCTGAGAAGCCTATACCAGTTGTGGAATACATTGTGCCTACTTCAAAAATTAAGGAAATGTGTGCACAGTGGGTTGAAGTGCAAACCTTTATGGATGAAAATCACCCTAACACAGCTGTTACAATGACAATGTTGTGGCCCATTTTAGACAAATTGTAAAGGAACGGGAGGTACAGAGCTCTTTGGGCAGATTTGTTGTGCGACAGAGGTCCAGTGACTCTCAAGCTGGTCCTAGTGGCATTAAAAGAAGAAAGGAAGTAACCCTGGAAAAGGACTTGCTACCTCAAGTCCTAATGGAAGGGGATTCCCCTTCTAAACACTAACACCTCTCCCCTCCTTCCATCCCATCAATCATCACCAGATCTTCATTAAAGGTAAGTGTCAATTATTTTATTGTTATTGTAATTATTCTATTGCATTAAACTTAATATTTCATGTAGTAAAATTTTTTTTTTTTTCATACTTTTGGGTGTCTTGCACGGATTAATGTGATTTTCCTTATTTCTTATGAGGAAAATTGATTCGGTTTTCGATATTATCGGTATTCGATGAGCTCTCAGGAACGGATTAATATCGAATACCGGGGGTCCACTGTAAACACTTGATCAACACATCCCCTACCCACTCTAAAGCCTCCTTGCTCATCCATAATCCTACTCTCTGTCTTACCTCTAATTCTTTCAGTAATAACCCTACCGTACACTTTACCTGGTATACTCAGTAACTTTTTTCCCCTATAATTTGTAGCAGTATTCTGGTTGCATAATGGGTGTGTATGTGCATCAGGTACAGGTCATGGAAGAAGAAAAAATATACTGTAAATCAAAGAAGAAAGCAAGCTTATGGCTGAAAGTGGGAGCATGTTTGTTATGTAAGAATAATATATAAATGTCAAAATTGTATACATGCCATTCTGCTTTGAGAAAAGAGAGAGATAAAGCTTATCAGGGGGTAGATGAATTGTGATATTTTGCACAATAAAATTGAGTGGCAATTTTTTTGAGTTATCTATGTCATGAATTTTTCGTTAATAAATCACTACCAAGGCATTAACCCTTAAACTGTCCAAACGTAGATCTGCGTTTTTTCAACATTTGAAAGTATGTAAAAAAAGTAGATCTTTTTTTTTTTTTACATTTGAAAATGTGTAAAAAACTGATCTACTTTTTTTTTTTTTTTTTTTTTTTTTTGTATTTGAAAATATGTAAAAAAAGCGTAGATCTACTTTTGGAGCACTACGCATGTGGATGTAGATCTGCTTGGACAGTTTAAGGGTTAATAATTCACAAATAACCCACACCTTCAAGAGGAAACTAGACTCTGTTTTGGTCCATCCTGGACAATTATCAAGTCACAACAGAGTAAGAAAAAGGGAAGAAAACTTTAAGATAGATCAGAAAGGGGATGGGGAAGATAGGTTATTAGTAGTGCAGCAGTAGTAGTAGTAGGTAAAGATGAAGTCAAATTATGAGTATCTTGAGGATTGGAATATTTCACAATGTATTGGGAAAGGCATGCATCATCAGAAACAAAACTTTTTTGTTTCATTATGTTTTATAGTATGTAGAAACTAATGAACTTTCCAAAGCCCATTATTTTGATTATTGATATGTTACCCAGTGCCCATAAGATGGAGCTGCGGGAAGAAGTGTACCAGAGCAGTGAACGCCTCAAGGAAGAAGAAGTCTACTTCAAGAATCATCACAAGGCTATATTAAACACCAGCATTCACCTTTCAAAATCTCAAGAAGAGATCAGCAAAAGCCTTGATGCAGTTACCAAAGTGTTTCTGGAATTTGACAAAATGGTGGGTATTGCTGGAGTTTCAAGGCAAACATATATACATTTTTTTTTTTTTATTACATGCTGTAGTTCTTGTTAAATAAATAAAAAAAATATTGCAGTGATTAGGTTCATGGTACACTGTGATAAATAAGACACTTATGAAACATTTGGGCATCTTCATTGTGAAAAAGTTTCGCCAGCCAATGGCTGGCGAAACTTTTTCACAATAAAGATACCCAAATGTTGCCCAAGTGTCTCATTTATCAACTTGTTGGTTTTCTACACCATTTATTCACATGGCACATTGTGATACAATGTGCCAGTGGCACTACTGGTGCTGGACACACTATATTAGGCCTTTATATTAATAGAGTTGATAGGAGTTTTAATTCATGTATTAGACTACTAATAACTTAATAAGGCAGCTTATTTCCAAAACATGCATGCAAATGTATCCTTTATATTTTGCCAAAAATATGTAAACGATATCATTGTGACAAGAAGAATTTTCCCTTAAAATAAAATGTAACTACAGGTTGAAAATTGTAAGATCTTTACTCTTTTTTATCAGAATACTGATAATGCTGTTGAACCTTGTTTATCTGATATCCTGTAACTGGAAACCTCAGAGTAATGTAAAAATCCACTGGCTTATTTTTGTGGCTTTTTAATTATAAATTGTTCCATCATTCAGTTTAACATCCAATTTTTCCTGTAGTCATCCTCAAAAACAGCATTGATATACAGGTCTCCCTCAACATTCGCGAGGATTAGGGGATCAAGAGTCTCGCAAATGTTGAAAATTTGCGAATGTTTGGTGCCCCCATATATTGTAGGGAAATATAATACAATATTGCTTCCTTAACCCTTTCAGGGTTTTTGATGTACTAGTACGGCTTATGCACCGGGGTTATTGACGTGCTAGTACACCTAAATTCTAGCACCTTCAAATCTAGCGAGAGAAAGCTAGTAGGCCTACATATGAAAGAATGGGTCTGTGTGGTCAGTGTGCGCAGTATAAAAAAAATTCTGCAGCACACAGTGCGTAATGAGAAAAAAAAACTTTGACCGTGTTTTTGGATTAATACAGCGACTTTGCACTGTATTTTCGTATGGTATTTATGGTTGTATTCTAGTTTTTCTGGTTTCATTTTATAGAATGGAAGACATATTAAAGAAATTGAGATGATTTTGACTGGTTTCACAATGAAAAGTACCTCGAAATTGAGCTCAAAGTAGCAGAAATGTTCGATTTTTACCAAAGTTCAAAAGTAAACAAATCATGCCAGACGTCCAATACGCGTCAACAGGTGAGTCTAATATTCTTTCACAAGTGCGCTGATATTATTTATACTATTTCTACACTAATGCAGTAGTATGCATAACAGTAAATCTTTTATTTTTTATAAGAATAAAAATTCAAAGTGGAAAGCAAAAGAAATATAACAGGGGTCTGGGGATGTGACTAACGAACAGAGAACTTGTTATTTTAGTGCCAGGAATGTCTTTCTTGTTTATTCTGGACCCTATTTGGAAATTGGCATCTTCTGAAATTTGTGAAATTGGCAAAATTGCCAATTTCTAACCACTTTATTGGATAGTTGAAATTGGAAAATGGGTGGTTTCTTGTACTCATTTGATAGAAAAAATGGAGTTCTAGCGAAATAAATATGATTTTTGTCGACTAGTACACAGGAATAGGCCAAAAATAGGGCTCAAAGTGGGTGGAATCACTGATGCGCAAACATCGGCGAGACTGCTAACTTCACGAGAGCATAATTCCGTAAGTTTTCCATCAAATTTCATACTTTTGGTGTCATTATGATCGGGAAAAGATTCTCTATCATTTCATAAGAAAAAATAATTTTTTCTTTTTTCCAAAAAATTTTCGACCCTGAGAACAAGTTTAGGAGAGGGCCTCTCGACCCTGAAAGGGTTAACCTATTGAACCATAAACAATCATAAAGCACATGAAAACATCATAAAATATTGTACTGTATAGTACTACATACATGTATAGTTTAACCTTTAAAATGTCCAAACGTAGATCTACGTTCATGTACGTAGCACTCCGATGTTTATTTCCCCATTTGAAAGCATGTAAAAGAAAATGTAGATCTACGTTCAGAGCCCCCACACGTGAACGTAGCTCTACGTTTGGACAGTTCAAGGGTTAATAACAAATAATGAACAAGCAAAACGCTCGCCACTCATAAGGCCGACGAACTCTGATGACTTTGATGATGATGATGATAGTGATGATAGCCATGCAGTTACTGATGTCAGTTGAATGGAGGTGATTATATGGAGTGTAACTGCATGGCATGATGAGTCTAGTGTGTAGATTCTAACTTCACTGCCAGCATCACTGCCGACATCGCTTGAGTCAGAGTTAGCAATGGAGTCAGATTCTGCCACGGGTTGAGGTTGAGGTGAGGCGGCAGGGGTAGCGGCAGGCTTCCTTGCGAAGAACATTGTGATGGGCAACTCAGACCATTTCCTCTTCATATCTACAAACAGAGTTTTGTGGGGAATTATGCTCCTATGAATGTTGTTCATCACCTTCAAAGCCCTCACCATCAGTGGGTCTATGTCGTACATAAATTGTTTGAGTTGTGCTGTCATTCTCATCACTTGCCCTAGTTTTTCAAGGGTGAGAGCTTGAGGTTGATTGGCTTCAGCAACACTCTCCTTTTCTTCATCCTCATTCTCTGCCTGCACAATCTCCAATAACTCTTCATTATTTAGGCCCAGTGCATGTTCTTCAACCAGTTCTCTCGCCTCGCCCTCCGCATGTCCTCAAACCCTTCACTACCAACTAGCCTTGCTAACTCCACAGTCTTCCTCATGGCTTTGTTAACTTCGTCCTGAGGAGCAATCCAACAAAATCACACACACACTGTGGCCACAAAGCTTTCCAACAACCCATCACCATCTGAGGTTGCAAATCCTTGACAATATCATGCACTATTGAGAGACAGTCAGTGATGGTGAATTTCTTCCAGTATTGAGTGACACATATCTGGATCTGCATCCAGATATGAGTGGAAGGAGATTCTTGTTGCATCCCTTCAGTGCTCTGGGGTTGGCACATTTATAAATAAAACCTGGCTGTATCATGTGCCCAGCAGCGTTAGCACATAGCATTACTCTGCATCGATTCTTCGCAGCACTGAGCCCAGGCACAATCTTCTCCTTGGCGATGAGGGTCCTGGCAGACATTCTTCCAATAGTGGTGTTTCATCCATATTCCACACCTGTTCAGGCGTGTATCCCTTCTCATCGATGATTTTTTTCAAAGCACCAGGTAATGCAGCTGCCAAAACGTGATCTGCCAAACTTGATTCTCCACTCATCTTCAGGTTGTGCAGGGAGAACCATCTCTTAAATTTTTCAAACTAACCTTTACTTGCTAGGAAGTCAGGATGGGTAGGTTCTACACTGGTGCTAGCCTCATCACTAGCCAGCATATCATACAAAGTCTTTCCCTTTACACGAATCACATTGCTATCTATGGGATTTCCTTTTCTATTTTGGTCTGAAATCCACACAAATAATGCTGATTCCACCTTAGATATCGCACTGTTTCTTGCTTGAGATGCTTGCTTGGCTGAGGGAGGAGCAGTAGATGCTAGTGCCGCCCTTATCTTGGCCTCATTTTTCTTGATAGAGCCCACTGTGCTTTCGTTTATATTAAATAATTTTCCAATGGCAGAACTGCTCAAATTGCCTGCCCTACACTTGTCTAGCAATTTCACCTTCTCCAGATTCATGACTTTCTTTGAGCGCTTAGGGATTGGCTCATCAGTAGCGGTTGCTGCTTGCTTGGGGGCCGTACTTTCACCACCACACAAAACACAATAGGACACACAAACAACACAGAAGAGTGGCTGAACAATGACTGAGTGAGTGAGTGGCAGGCGGGCTGGCTGCCAATTGAGGGGGTTGGAGGGAAAGTAGTAGGGACATGTAGGTGATGGGAAACATAAATATGATTTGGTGGCTGGGAATTCGCGAATGTTCGAAGCCTGCGAAAGTGGAAAACGCGAATGTTGAGGGAGACCTGTACCCCACTTGACCTGGAACCCATGGTCAGAAGCTACTATTAATTTCCCATTTGCAACTGAGTTGGCAGTGGATTAAGCTTGAGCTCTTGGTCTTGCCTCTTTAACCCGTAAACAGTCCAAACGTATATATACGTTCTCTCACCCAGAGCTTCGAATATTTTGAAATTTTTTTATAGAAATAAAGAGTGCATTTTTCTAAGTTATATAGGATAAAAAAAATTTTTTTAGGGATATCATGTTGGAGAGAAGGAGTATGGAAGAAATGAATGTATTCAGATATTTGGGAGTTGACGTGTCAGTGGGTGGGTTTATGAAGGATTAGGTTAACCACAGAATTGATGAATGAAAAAAGGTGAGTGGTGCTTTGAGGTATATGTGGAGACAACAAATGTTACCTATGGAGGCAAAGAAGGGAATGTATGAAAGTATATGGGTGTGAAACTTAGGTTGTAAATGCAGCAGTGAGGAGACAGTTGGAGGCAATGGAGTATGTCCTGCCTAAGGGCAATGTGTGATGTAAATATTATGCAGAAAAGTTTAATGTGGGAAATTAGGAGAATGGATAGTGGAGTCGAAAAGTATATATCAGAGGGCTGAAGAGGGGTTAGTTGATGGTTTGGGTCATTTAAAGAGATGGATCAAAGTAGAGCGCAGGAGAGCATATAAATCTCGGGGTGATAGGAAGGCGAGGTTTTGGGTATCCTCGAAAAGTTGGAGTGGAGTAGGATTATGTTATTTTTTTAATTTATCATCAGCCAACAGAGGAAGCCAAATTCTTCTCTCAGTTGAACCTGGAGGAGTGGTACCAAGAAGAAGACAAATTCACAGATACTCTAGAAACTTACATTAGAAGACAGTTTAGAGAGGTAAGTCAACTCATTGTTAATATTAGGGTACTGAACCTGTGTCCTGCATGTGGGAAGTACAGTACCTGTATGCTGAAGGAAGGGTTGGCATGTTGCAGTATTGAGGCTCATTTGAACTGTGACGTATTATGTCTTTGCACTGTTGATGAGACAGATATTAAAGGAGTGATAATGATTTTTTTGTGGGGGGGGGGAGGTCACCCTTTCTTGGTGAGTGGTGGCTGGTGTACAAAGAAAAATCTTGGAAAACTTTTAATTGCAATACGTACTTGGGTCACCTAAGGTTGCATTTATATACCAGTATCTGCCAAGATAGTTGATTGGGTTATTATTGGAATTGTAAAATTGATGTGAAATAATGATTTTTGAAGGCTGCCCATCAAATTGAGGTGAGGAAAATGAAAACATAGACTTGATTTTAGCATGATGTTTCTTTGCTGTGTCTGTTATATTAGAAATGGCAAAATGATTGCTAAAATGTCTTCCACCTTGAAAGAATATGTGATAACCCATAATCAATATATGGACATGCTCTTTGCTGAGAATGAGCAACAGTTTTAGAAAGTGAGAAATAATGTAAGAAACCTTAGGAACAATTAACTTTGAGTGTAAAAATGCTGAGATTCTGGATAAGGAGATTTACTAGAGATGGAATATTTACATGTTGAATATTGCATTGCTTTACCTATATGTTTGGCTATTTGTCATGCCAAACATTGTGCACCAATTCAAGCATCACTTTATATATGTATGTTTATATTTATGTTAAACTCCACTACTTTACACCTTTTTTTTTTATCTTGTACAGTATATAATTTTTTTTTTATTCTAAGTTGCCAGCTATTGATTATAGACTAGTTCAAAATACAAATTACAGCTACACGTATGCATATACAGTATGCAACATTTTAATGGGATGAAAACCTAGCACCAGTATGCCATTGTTGTTTAATCATAGATACTCGGAGCCTGTTAGCCAGTAGTTGCTTAATCACAGATACACAGAGCCTGTTAGCCAGTAGTTTCTCAGTCACTTAGCAGATCATTCTTTGGCTGAGACTTAAGTCCTGAAACATTTCTGATGAAGATAATACCTCTCATCACCTAGACTAGTTATGAATTCTTGAGGTGCTGTGACAAAATATTGATAATAATACTCTACTCCTACAACAGTAATTAAAATCCGAGCAGTGTAAATTTTTAAATATGTAATATACAGTAGAGCTCCTAGGTAGTAGGTTGGTAGACAGCAGCCGCCCAGGGAGGTACTACTGTCCTGCCAAGTGAATGTAAAATGAAAGCCTGTAATTGTTTTACATAATGGTAGGATTGCTGGTGTTTTTTCTGTCTCATAAACATGCAAGGTTTCAGGTACGTCTTGCTACTTCTGCTTACACTTAGGTCACACTACACTTACATGTACAAGCATATGTATGGTTTAGAAAGACACGCAAGCAAACACTATAACATATTTATTAGAAAACGTTTCGGTCCTGGGACCTTGATCAAGGTCCCAGGACCGAAACGTTTTCTAATAAATATGTTATTGTGTTTGCTTACGTGTCTTTCTAAACCAACTTGTCGGTATTTATTACCAAGGTTTATACCAAGCATATGTATACACACCCCTCTGGGTTTTCTTCTATTTTCTTACTAGTTCTTGCTCTTGTTTATTTCCTCTTATCTCCATGGGGAAGTGGAACAGAATTCTTCCTCCGTAAGCCATGCGTGTTGTAAGAGGCGACTAAAATGCCAGGAGCAAGGGGCTAGTAACCCCTTCTCCTGTATATATTACTAAATGTGAAAGGAGAAACTTTTGTTTTTCCTTTTGGGCCACCCCGCCTTGGTGGGATACGGCCGGTGTGTCGAAAGAAGAAGCATGCAAGGTTTCAGATGCGTCTTGCTACTTCTACTTACACTTAGGTCACACTACACATACATATACAAGCATATATATATATATACACAACTGTCTGGGTTTTCTTCTATTTTTGTACTAGTTCTTGTTTATTTCCTCTTATCTCCATGGAGAAGTGGAACAGAATTTTTCCTCCATAAGCTTTGCATGTTGTAAGAGGCAACTAAAATGCCAGGAGCAAAGGGCTAGTAACCCCTTCTCCTGTATAAATTACTAAATTTAAAAGGAGAAACTTTCGTTTTTCTTTTTGGGCCATCCTGCCTCGGTGGGATACGGCTGGTGTGTTGAAAGAAAGGAGAAATACAGTAGAGCTGTATTTTTTGATGTACACACATTAGAAATGCTTATTTGTTCTCCTTCTATACAGGGTGCTGTGATACTGGCGAATGGTGCTCTATCCAAAGAATTGGAGCAGCTCTTTTTTCTTGATCAAACCTAATTACTACCCCTCTCCTTTAGGTACTGAATGATCCCAATGGGTTTAGTGCTTCTCCATGAATGTAATAATGTATCTCATTTGTTCAGGGTGTGAGAGATGTTGCTGGTGCTGGTGACACTTCAGAGTACTGCTTACTGGATGTAAGTAATCTAGATCTGCAGCTGGTGCGAGGAGCGGGAAACGCTGAATATGCACAGAATGTAGACGAGCTCAAAAGACTGAATAATTTGTAAGCATAAATATACATTTTTAATGTGTTCTATGTATGTTTTTTCCTACCACGTTTCTCTGGAATAATCACCATGAAGAGGATGGCCCAGACAGTAAAGCCTTAAGGTTACCTTTCCTTAACAGGCTAACTGCCTTTCTCCATTTCTTATGTAATATCGTTCAAATATAACACATTTTCCTTAGCTTGTGCATTTGTTCTTAACCCCATAGACTCTCATAATACACTACAGATTAGCATCCTTGACTTCGACTCTGTACATAACTACAAGTTCTAGTGACTGTTTTGTGTACTATCTATTGTAGCCTACGTTTTATATGAAGGTGGATTTCATTTCATCTGTTTTAAAACCTTACTCTTGCTCTTTCTCTTCTCTCAGTTTCTTCCTGTTTCTCTACATAGGTAACCAGACACCAGAAATTCTAACTTAAAATCTAGCTGGCAAAAAAAAAAAAAAAAAAAATAAGCAAAAGCATCCAGCTAGATGAAACATAGAAATTTATGTCATTGCTATATTTTTAATTACTTTTGCACTTATAATAAATACAGGCATATCTCGTTAATACGGCACTTACTTTAGAGTTCTTTCCTAATATGGCACATTTCAGTTATATTTGTGATTATTATTTTCAGTACTTGCCTTGCTTTTAAGATGGTTTTTGGCAAATTTACAAAATATGTATTTATTATTATTACTTTTACATCAATTTTTAGGCCTGTTGTTATTGCATACTCGATAAATGATAGTGTAAATATATTTTTAGGGTTTTATATACACTGGCACATGAAAAAAAAAAGGCTGTGATTCGCTTTATGGCAGTGTTCTGGAACCAGACCCACCATATTGATGAGGTATGTCTGTAGCTGATTAAACTTTGGAGATCGTATAACGAAAATGTGCTCTGAAATTTCACGTTATGTGAAGGTCTGCTGTATCTCTTAGTTGCATAATTCACATAGTCTGGCTTTTATCACAAGAGAGTACACATAAGTAGACTGTCTTCTGGTACTCTAAGAAACTCCCTTTCTGAATTGGTTACTCTAGACTGCATAGGTCTGCCAGGAGAGTACTGTATGTTTCACGGTGCCTTCAGTAATTTGATTCAGTAAGGAGTTGAAACTGTATTTTTATTGATTTTTTAATTTTTTTAATAGAGTGGATAGGGGAGCAATGTGGCAGATGTTGCAAGTATATGGAATAGGTGGTAAGTTACTAAATGCTGTAAAGAGTTCTTATGAGGATAGTGAGGCTCAGTAAAAGTAGGTCTTAGACAGGGATGTGTAATGTCACCATGGTTGTTTAATATATTTATAGATGGGGTTGTAAAAGAAGTAAATGATAGGGTGTTCAGGAGGGGGTTGGAATTAAATTATGGGGAATCAAATACAAAATGGGAATTGACACAGTTGCTTTTTGCTGATGGGAGATTCTAAAGAAAAATTGCAAAGGTTAGTGGATGAGTTCGGGAGTGTGTGTAAAGTTGAAAGTGAACATAGAAAAGAGTAAGGTGATGAGGGTATCAAATGATTTAGATAAAGAAAAATTGGATATCAAATTGGGGAGGAGGAGTATGGAAGAAGTGAATGTTTTCAGATACTTGGGAGTTGATGTGTCGGCAGATGGATTTATGAAGGATGAGGTTAATCATTGAATTGATGAGGAAAAAAAGGTGAGTGGTGCATTGAGGTATATGTGGAGACAAAAAACGTTATCTATGGAGGCAAAGAAGGGAATGTATGAAAGTATAGTAGTACCAGCACTCTTATATGGGTGTGAAGCTTGGGTTGTGAATGCAGCAGCGAGGAGGCGGTTGGAGGCAGTGGAGATGTCCTGTCTAAGGGCAATGTGTGGTGTAAATATTATGCAGAAAATTAGGAGTGTGGAAATTAGGAGAAGGTGTGGAGTTATTAAAAGTAGTAGTCAGAGGGCTAAAGAGGGGTTGTTGAGGTGGTTTTGTCATTTAGAGAGAATGGAACAAAGTAGAATGACATGGAGAGCATTTAAATCTGTAGGGAAAGGCAGGCATGGTAGGGGTCATCCTCGAAAAAGTTGGAAGGAAGGGGTAAGGGAGGTTTTGTGGGCGAGGGGCTTGGACTTCCAGCAGGCATGCATGAGTGTGTTCGATAGGAGTGAATGGAGACGAATGGTATTTGGGACCTGACGATCTGTTTGAGTGTGAGCAGGGTAATATTTAGTGAAGGGATTCAGGGAAACCGGTTATTTTTGCGTAGCCGGACTTGAGTCCTGGAAATGGGAAGTACAATGCCTGCACTCTAAAGGAGGGGTTTCGGGATATTAGCAGTTTGGAGGGATATGTTGTGTATCTTTGTACGTATATGCTTGTAAACTGTTGTGTTCTGAGCACCTCTGCAAAAACAGTGATTATGTGTGAGTGAGGTGAAAATGTTGAATGATAATGAAAGTATTTTCTTTTTCGGGATTTTCTTTCTTTTTGGGTCACCCTGCCTCGGTGGGAGATGGCCAACTTGTTAAAAAAAAAAAAAAATTATTTTAAGAAATATTACTTCAAATTTGTTTCTAGGCTACGACAGACTGAAGAATGGAGACTGAAAGGCTTGTTACTGCAGCATCAAAAACGAGCAGAAATAGAGGAGGCCAATAGACAATTTGCTGCCATCCACAGAAGCCAACTACCATCTAATCTGGCACTACTTGAGTAAACTGATTGTATTAATTGTACTTAAATTTTTAACAAAATTTTCCTTACAAAATCTTAAAATACCTTAACATTAAGTGTCAAAAATTCCTTCATCCAGTTTCCACAGTATCAATATCAGTTGATATTGGCTGATTTTGATGGTATCAATATCAGCCTAAAATTGAGATGCAAAAATTTGATAGCTCATCACTATTTTTAATGTTAATATAAATTTTCCAAAACTGAGATCATACTGTTTTTCTTGCTTCTTTACACTACTATGTCTTCATGACACCCTAAAGGAGTTTTTCACATTTGTTTTTTACCTTGTCAACCATTTCTCACCAAGATAAACAAAGTCTGCTACTATATTACACAAATAACCTGCACATAGGAGAGAGGAGCTTACGACGACATTTCTTTCTGACTTGGACTATTTACAAAGCCACAGGTGTGACTTTGTAAATGGTTCAAGTCAGACCGAAACATTGTCGTAAGTTCCTCTCTCCTTTATGCAGATTATTTGTGTATTGTTCCAGTCATGGTATTGTGCCTTTTTGTTATTTATCTGCTACTGTATTCATTCATGTCCTCATGTTCCTCCTGTTCCTATCCTGTGGCCACCACATTGTGACTTGTGACTCAAGTAACAAATTTTATTTTCTGTATACTGTACCCCTTCATTACCCACAAGACATATGTTTTGTGAAAAGCTTGTGATGGTGACTTTACCAGTATGAAGCTCAGTATTTCACTTTAAAAATGTGGGTGTATACCAGACACCAATGACACACTGTATCTAGACATAGATTACTCTAGTATTATTCAAGCATTATACACTATTTTAGACCAGTTATACTGACCAGCCAACTGACATACACAATGCAGCATGTTCATGAGGTGATATAAGAGCATATTATTATTATAATCAATTTAAGTGCTAAACCTAAGGGTCATACAGTGATATAGTTGCATGTGTAAGTCATGGATCATGGAGCAAAGTTTGTAGATAACACCACAGTAGATAAAATGGAGTAGTACTTTAGTTGTTTTAATAAACTAAATTGATGTCTAGCATGAAAATGCTCAAAATTACATGTTCTATTGAACTAGCAAAAATAAAAAGTCAACCCTTAATCTTAGATCTTAAGTGGCCACTCATTCAAGCACTCCATCCCTCTGCCCCCTTTATCAAAGCTAATAGAGCACCCACTACATATACAGTACTTCTGAGGACATGAGAGGGGGAAGCAATTGGCTAGTTGAATAATTTGAAGATACAGTGGACCCTCGACCAGCGATATTAATCCGTTCCTGAGAGCTCATCGTTAGTCGAAATTATCGTTAGTCGAGTTAATTTTCCCCATAAGAAATAATGGAAATCAAATTAATCCGTTCCTGACACCCCAAAGTATTGAAAAAAAAAAATTTTACCACATGAAATATTAATTTTAATACACACAAACTGAAGAAGACATGTACAATTACATGACACTTACCTTTATTGAAGATCTGGTGATGATTGATGGGATGGGAGGAGGGTAGAGTTTGGATGGTTTTAGTGTTTAGAAGGGGAATCTCCTTCCATTAGGACTTGAGGTGTCAAGTCCTTTCCAGGGTTACTTCCCTTCTTCTTTTAATGCCACTAGGACCAGCTTGAGAGTCACTGGACCTCTGTTGCACAACATATCTGTCCATAGAGCTCTGTACCTCCCATTCCTTTAAGATTTGTCTAAAATGGGCCATAACATTGTCATTGTAATGGTCACCAGCATGGCTTGCAATAGCTGTGTTAGGGTGATTTTCATCCATAAAGGTTTGCAGTTCAACCCACTTTGCACACATTTCCTTAATTTTTGAAGTAGGCACAATGGATTCCACAACTGGCACAGGCAACTCAGGGTTAGCCCCAAACCCTTCAAAATCTTCTTAATTTTCATACTAATTCTCACCCTTTTTATCACATGGTTGGCAATAGAAGCTTTCTTGGGGCCCATGGTGACTTATTTTGCAGGTGCAATCACTAAAAACGCTGTGATAATATGAAATGTTCTGATTGTATGTTTGTATGCGACCGCAGTGGCTGGCTTGTAAACACTGGCACCCACGGGACAAGTGAGGCGCGCTCAGGCCACACGTGGATGTGTCTCAAACGGAACGAATCACGTTGGTTGAGTTTTTTAGCGCTAGTCGAGGCAAAATTTTTGCATTAAAATGTATCGCTAGTCGGATTTAACGTTATACGATGCCATCGTTGGTCGAGGGTCCACTGTACATGCAGATTTATGGGAAGTATATTTGTACAAATTTTTGGGTGATGTACAGTTTCGTTGTTAATAACAGAATACTTTTTACTACTTACTCTACTACAATCACAGAAAAATTAAGATACAACCTTTCTTTTATTTTGATGAACCATTATGTATGAAAGAAAGAATTATTTAAAATAACACACATCTTCATAGCGTACGGTATTGTGTGAAAATGCACACATGTCTAGATTTGGAATAAATGTCTTATCAATATGCTCTGCTTTAATTGATGATTTCTTATGAGATAATATTGTAAAATAATTTTAGGCAACAAGCTCGAGAGGCCAGTGAATCTCGCAAAGCTGTAGAATGGGAAAAACAGCAGCAGCAGCAAGTGATGCAGTCTCTTATAACAGAGGTGGCACAGCTGGAGAGTACAAAAACTATCTCTGGAAACTATCAGCTTAAGCGCCAGCGACAGGAATATTTTCTCGATAAGCAAAAACTTGTAAGTTATGAGAAAAGTAAGATTCACAAGTCATCTATGAGGTGATACTTTAATTTACTTAATAGGAAATTGGCTTCTTGTTTTTCTGCCAAAATAGTTGCTGATAGGTTCCACTGTTTTCTGTTAATAATTCCAAAGATTCACTGCCAGCCTTGGACCAGGCCTTATAAATCGGGAATAAAATATTACAGGATTAAAAGCTGTGAAGCACTACAGGAAAATAACAAATGTATACTGAATGTCCTAAGTAGTAGGTTGGTAGACAGCAACCGCTCAGGGAGATACTATTGTCCTGCCAAGTGAGTGGGAAATGGAAGTCTGTAATTGTTTTACACTGGTAGGATTGCTGGTGTCTTTTTTCTGTCTCATAAACATGCAAGATTTCAGGTATGTCTTGCTACTTCTACTTACACTTAGGTAACACTGCAAATGCATAGATAAGCATATATATACACATGCCCCTCTGGGTTTTCTTCTATTTTCTTACTAGTTCTTCTTCTTGTTCATTTCCTTTTATCTCCATGGGGAAGTGGAACGGAATTCTTCCTCCATGAGCCATGTGTGTCGTAAGAGGTGACCACAATGCTGGGAACAAGGGGCAGGTAACCCTTTCTCCTGTATATATTATTAAATTTATAAGGAGAAACACTCTTATAAGGGTGTGAAGCTTGGATTGTGAATGCAGCATTGAGGAGGCGGTTGGAGGCAGTGGAGATGTCCTGTCTAAGGGCAATGTGTGGTGTAAATATTATGCAGAAAATTCGGAGTGTGGAAATTAGGAGGTGTGGAGTTAAAAGTATTAGTCAGAGGGCTGAAGAGGAGTTGTTGAGGTGGTTTGGTTATTTAGAGAGAATGGATCAAAGTAGAATGACATGGAGAACATTTAAATCTGGAGGGGAAGGAAGGCAGGGTAGGGGTCGTCCTCGAAAAGGTTGGAAGGAAGGGGTAAGGGAGGTTTTGTGGGCGAGGGGCTTGAACTTCCAGCAGGCATGCATGAGCGTGTTTGATGGGAGTGAATGGAGACGAATGGTATTTGGGACCTGACGATCTGGTGGAGTGTGAGCAGGGTAATATTTAGTGAAAGGATTCAGGGAAACCAGTTATTTTTATATAGCCGGACTTGAGTCCTAGAAGTGGGAAGTACAATGCCTGCACTCTAAAGGAGGGGTTTCGGGATATTAGCAGTTTGGAGGGATATGTTGTGTATCTTTATATGTATATGCTTCTCAACTGTTGTGTTCTGAGCACCTCTGCAAAAACAGTGATTATGTGTGAGTGAGGTGAAAGTGTTCAATGATGATGAAAGTACAGTGGACCCCCGGTTTACGATCAGCTCCCAATGCGACCAATTATGTAAGTGTACTTATGTAAGTGCGTTTGTATGTGTATGTTTGGGGGTCTGAAATGGACTAATCTAATTCACAAAATTCCTTATGGGAACAAATTCGGTCAGTACTGGCACCTGAACATACTTCTGGAATGAAATAATATTGTAAACCGGGGGTCCACTGTATTTTCTTTTTGGGGATTTTCTTTTTGGGTCGCCCTGCCTTGGTGGGAGACGGCCGACTTGTTAAAAAAAAAAAAAAGGAGAAACTTTTGGTTTTCCTTTTGGGTCACCCTGCCTTGGTGGGATACGGCTGGTGTGTTGAAAGAAAGAAAGAAGATACTGAATGTATGTAGAAGACTGTAAGATTTACATACCATTTAAAATCTTTTGAGACAGTGGTATACTGTATCTGTAACAGCTTTGCTTGTGTCTTTTTTATTTATTTATTTTATTTAAAGGATTATAAAGTATGCAAAACTTAATATAGCTACATAAAAATTATTAAAAAATGAAATCCATTACCTTTTTATGATTTGCTGAAGTTGTACTACTTAAAGCAATATATTGAGTGTAATAAAATCTTGCATGGAACTAGAATATTTATTCTTTTAAGGGGTTGAATGCATATACCTTTGAGGGGTTGAATGTTTGTACTTTTGAGGGGTTGAAATTCATATATGTTGTGTACCTACCAATTACTAAAGTCATATTTGTAATAACAGATTTGTGGAAATGAAGACAAATTGAAGTTGATAAAAAACACGAGCAGCAGTTAGAAACTTTATTAAGACTGCATCTTGCCTGCACCACAGGCTTTATCAGTCTGATAAAGCCTGCTGTGCCAGCAAAATTTAGTCTTAATAAGGCTTCTAATGACTGCTTTTGTTTTTATCAGCTATACAGACTCATACTTGTTGGGTGCATTAAGGGCAAAATCACACTCACTGTAGTAGCTATATTTCTCCTTAAATATTCAAGTAATATTCATAACACATGGTACTCTAATTTTTGCAGTACCCCCTCTCCCTTTTATTTTATATGTATACTAGCACACTCGCTGATCACCCTCAAGACTAACTAGTATTTTATTTCTCTTTTCAATCAATTTATCACTACTCTTGTAGATAACAGACAGTAGGATATAAAAATAAAGCTTATGGAAAGGCAAATTCATGAATGCAAAACATGTGGACCGTTGGAGCACGGTACCAATGAAAGACACTTTTTGTATCAATGAAATCTTTTGGAATATTGTACCTGTAGTGTATATTTAAAAACTCTACAGGTGATGGATGAACTGGTATCACAAGTGGCTCGGTACAATTGGATCAACATTGCCCTGGATATTGAGAGAGGAAAAATTGCAGATATTCTGAATGTCCTGCAGAGTATCAGTTCAATAATTACCCAAAAAGATGTTAGCTACAATAAAAGAATGGTAAGTATACATGCCAGCACTGTAATGCTACTTTGTAAATTTACTAACAAAAATATGTTGATGTCAGTTTCCAGAAAGGTAGTGTTCTTTTGACCATTAGTCACACAAGTCAGAGTAAGAGATTTATTTCCACATTATACAATGTTTGTATAGAGATGAGTGACATTTGGTTGAGCATGCAGAAGGCCCATGATTATACAGAGTATTTCAGGCAAGCTTCAGCCTGATTTAAGGCTAAAGTTTGTCCATTGTTGGAATTATGTCCTCCCTTTTTCAATAGCAGTTCAAGACTAAGGTGGCAGTAGAAGTATCCCAATATTGCTAAAGACATATTATAAATTGTACCTGGTTATAGACAATTTGAATTTGATAAATTCAATTCCTTGGCTTGGGAGCCTCTCACTCTACTCATATTTTCATAGTTCGGTGTGGGAATGTAGCACTATGTCTGCCCGGACATGATCAGTGATTCTCCATTTCTCTCTTATCCCTACTCTTCACGGGGGAGAGTACCTTGATGCTGGTGAAAAAACTCTTGATCCAGAGAATTGGAGCTATTCTTCCCTTCTTCTGTGAGGGAGACAGATGACATTCAGATGATGATCCTTGTTGCAGGGAAGTGATGGTCAATAATACCATGACATTTGCATATTTATTTAAAGTAGAATTATCTCTTGCTTTAATGTGCAGTTTCATAATAGTCATTGAGTTGCCATGAATTCGTCTACTTCATCTTATGCTTAAATCATATACGAGTATTTACAAGAAAATCATAGGTAAGTGACAATATACATACCAGTGTGTAATAATGTTATAAATAGCATTTTCTTTAAGTGAACATTTGCTGCTCATTTTGGCACAATGAAAGGTAGCAAATTCATAAGCATCTCGCATATCAGGAGTCAGTCTCATGGAAAACAGAATACTGATGCCTTACATGATGTCACTGTTCTGGGAGCTAGGCCCACCAGTAACACTGGAATACCATCTGGCACTCACTGATCAGGTAACCTTGCCAAAAATATAGTGTAAGTTATCAGACATAACTTCATGGATCAAGAAGTACAGTATATTTCATGACTTTGTATATTTTGAGTGTATCTGATCCTTATATTATCCCATACCATTTATTTTCTCTGAAATACTGCCTTATATTGCCTTTCATTTTTTTATTTTTTAATGTAGTCAGTTTTCCTTTTATCATTTTCCAGGTCATGCTTTGAAAAAATATGTTGTCTCTAATTTAATATCTATTTATCTATTGGATTGGATTTTTTCCTGGCATTGATAGCAGTTATGATGCCTGAGAATTTTTATAAAACATTTGCTACCAGTTCACTTCAGCCTCTTTCTTTATTCATCTCTTTACTCTTCTCTTCCCGCTTTTCTGCTTTCCTGCCTTCCCCAACTTTTATCCATTCATATGGACTATGAAACCTTAATTTTTTTAACCTATTTCCTATGTGCAGCAATACCTGCAAGCTTTCACCAAGAAACATGAGGAGCAGAAGGCAGCAGGTCAGCTGCCCTTACCCCTGGTGACCCTCTCTCGGCTGCTTCCTGTTGCTGCTAAACAACAGTCACAGGAGGAGCACACAGCTGAAACAGTAACTGGGGAATACTTGCACAAGCAAGTTGCCATGTTGCAGAAAGGCCTTGATGTAGCCAGAGAACAAGTGGTCACTGCAAGGAATCCACAATTCTCTTGCCTCAGTAGAATGTAAGTTAAACTTTTTTGGGGTTTGCACTGAAAATTTAATATACCATATTATGATGTATAGGGATAGATAGCTATGTATTGTATATATACAAAAAATTGGTCAGTTATTTTTTCCTTCAACATACTGGCCATAACCCACTGAGACAGGGTGACCTAAAAAGAAAAACAGAAGTTTCTCTGTTTAAGTTCAAAATTGGTTACTAGCCCCTTGCTCCTGGCATTTTAGTCACCTTATGACACGCATGGTTTACAGAGGAAGAACTTTTCCACTTCCTCTTGGAGACAGGAGGAAATAAAGAACAAGAACTATTAAGACAACAGAAGAAAACCCAGATGGACGTGTAAATATGTATGTACGTACATGCATGTGTAGTGTGTAAGTAGAAGTAGCAAGATATACCTGGTATCTCATGTGTTTATTAGACAGAAAAAAAAAAGACTCCAGCAAACCTTTTTTTTTTTTTTTTCAACAAGTCGGCCGTCTCCCACCAAGGCAGGGTGACCCAAAAAGAAAGAAAATCCCCAAAAAGAAAATACTTTCATCATCATTCAACACTTTCACCTCACTCACACATAATCACTGTTTTTGCAGAGGTGCTCAGAACACAACAGTTTAGAAGCATATACGTATAAAGATACACAACATATCCCTCCAAACTGCTAATATCCCGAAGCCTTCCTTTAGAGTGCAGGCATTGTACTTCCCATTTCCAGGACTCAAGTCCGGCTATATAAAACTAACCGGTTTCCCTGAATCCCTTCACTAAATATTACCCTGCTCACACTCAAACAGATCTTCAGGTCCCAAATACCATTCGTCTCCATTCACTCCTATCAAACACGCTCATGCACGCCTGCTGGAAGTCCAAGCCCCTCGCCCACAAAACCTCCCGTACCCCTTCCTTCCAACCTTTTCGAGGACGACCCCTACCCCGCCTTCCTTCCCCTACAGATTTAAATGCTCTCCATGTCATTCTACTCTGATCCATTCTCTCTAAATGACCAAACCACCTCAACAACCCCTCTTCAGCCCTCTGACTAATACTTTTATTAACTCCACACCTCCTCCTAATTTCCACACTCCGAATTTTCTGCATAATATTTACACCACACATTGCCCTTAGATAGGACATCTCCACTGCCTCTACTTGGCAGGACAATAGTACCTTCCTGGGTGGGTACTGTCTGTCAACCTACTACCTAGGTCAGTTTTAATTATTGGTTTTTAATGTGGTCTAATGTATATGGATGGGAAGTGTTAACTTTTTTTTTTTTCAAAACATTGGCCGTCTCCCACTGAGGCAAGGTGACCCAAAAAAAGAAAGAAACACTTTAACCATCATTCAACACTTTCACCTTTATTCACACAAAATCACTGTCTTTACAGAGGCACCTAGATATAGCAATTTAGATGCCATTCTAAACAGCCAATATCCCAAACTCCTCTTTTAAAGTGCAGGCATGTACTTCCCACCTCCAGGACTCCAGTCCGGCTAACCTGTTTCCCTGAATCCTTTCACAAAATGTTACCCTGCTCACTTTCCAGCAGCTTATCAAGTCCCAAAAACCATTCGTCTCTAACCACAAATGGACCACTTTGAACCTATTCACAATAAAATCAAAACCAAGTTTTATATTATTAACACGTGTATGAATTACAGGCTTACCAGTTCCCTTTTCCACTGATAACTATACTTTTTTATATATAATATACCTTTTAATTAGCTACATTACAGGAGCAATCTACCATTGTTTTGGAAAAATGTTATATAGTAGCCTATTTGCCCTCCCTCTTTTACATGTTCTAGTTTTGCCCTGCGTCCTCTTTTGATGGTGAGTAAAGATTTGTGTAAATGTTTTTGTAGTAACATGACTGCAAAACAAACTACGGTCTAGTGGTTTATGCACTGGCTTGAAGTTTTAGGACTCACTCGTCATGGGTTTAAACCCCACCTGTTTCATGGTTTAAATATTTTCATCGTTTTATGATTTTATACGTAGTTATCACATCTACTCTTGAACTCGGATCAACCTATTTGGGAATTTTTCAGTGTTTCCTTGCTCTGGGAGCCATTTTGCAGCATTTTCTCCTAAATTTGTTTCTTCCATTTTTTGAGTCGCCCTGTCTTGGTGGGAGACAGCCAATGTGTCGAAAAAATCTAAAGTTTTAAACAGGAAAAAATTTTATGAACGCATTTCTTTTTTGTCACCCTGACTCGGTGGTAAATGGCCCGTGTTAAAAAAAAAAAATCTACTTTTGTCGTAGCTTGTGCCAAGTATTTCCAAGCTTTTCAGCTTGGAAATACTGTGCTGCATTGTTAATATTACAGGAGGGCCCTGCTTATACAGCAGGTTAGGTTTCAGACTACTGGTATAAAGTGAAAATCATTGTAAAGTGAATCAGCTTTTTTTTTTTTCACTTTCAAATGAATATAAGAATTGGATAACATGTTTACACTATCATATATTAAATGAGTAATATTGCTAGGCCTAAAATATGGATAAACAGTGAACACATTACTTACCTAAAAATATTTTAATCATTAGCTTCTAGAGAGTGGTGAATATATTTATTGTAGGAAGTCTGAATAAATGTATTAGTGAAATGCTGTAAAGCAGGGCCCTCCTGTACACATATTCTTACCTTGTATCTTTTTTCTTGTTCAAGGACAATGAATTGTGCAGTGCTGGAGACAAGTCTTTTTGGCAATCCTGGTAGCCTTAGAACCTTGCCTATAGCATGGTTGAAGCCAGATCTTGCAGATCGCTACATTTCTTTGGATCAAGAGTTGTGGAACTTCAAGCAAAAATTTATCAATTTAATCATTCAACATGAAGAAAAGAAGAAAGTATGTTTTATTTGTAATGTTTCATATCACATTTTTTGTATCTCTGCAACTGCTATATATATTGCTCTGTAGTAGAATGGCTGTTGTAGAATATTTCCTATTTATAAAGCACATTCTTGAAGTGGATCTTTTGATTTTATCAAGGCTGTCAGCAGCATTTTCACACACTTATTCACACCTAATGGTTCATCCTGGACAATTAGAATATTATTTTGTTTCAGTCTGTTCCATTTCAGTACTGTCTCCATAAAATTTTTGTCATTCTTTAATGCAATAACTTAGACTTTTAAGCAGTCTTGCCTATCTACATGCTCTCTGTCACAGACAAGTAGGCAGCAAACAGGGTCTGGAGCAGTGTACAAATGTAAGGCATATGCAAAAAAAATCAGTGTTCACAATACTTAAGAGAATTTGTGCAATACAGGTAAAGATAATGACACTGTAAAGATAATGACACTAAAGATAATGACACTGTAAAGATAATGACACTCATAAATGCATAGCTCTTGCAGATTCTCTCTTAAATATTTTTTGGTGGGATAGAGAAATGATATTAACAAGTCATGACAGAATCTTTGATTATTATTCTTGTTTTCATAATTTTTGGATAGCTGATGTACATTATTACCAGGCAAACATGTAACGCATTTCATTGCTTCTGAATCACTATACCACTGTAGTTTTGGGGATCATCTCACCTGTGGCCCAGTCTAAGACCAGGCCTAGATTGGAAAGGAAATATTTAAGTAGTAAATATTAAGAAACAGGAAATGAAGATTTGTAAAAAATAAATGTAAGTAAAAGTTTGTAAAATTTACCCACTGAGACATAAAGAAAAGACCAACTGTCATACTAGAGTACAAACTTCTTAAGTCTTTATTTTACATTTATACAACAAGTAGGGATATAGTATTGGAGTAGAAATAGCTTTATGTTGGCTATGCTGTGTGTATTTATTTGTTTACTATGAAAATATTTTAGTGTTTAACACACTGGCCATCTCCCACCAATAAAGAAACACTTTCCCCATCATTCACACCATCACTGTCTTGTCAGAGGCATGTAGATGATATAGTTCAGATTCCCCTCCAAACAGCACAAATTCCCCACCACTCCTTTAGAGTGCAGGCACTGTACTTCCCACCCCCAGGACTCCAAGTCCACCTAACTGCTTTTATGGTATAATTTTATTTTTTGTGCTTCCTTGAATATCATTCTATTATTCATTAGGTGGGGTTGATTGAGTATATGCCTTAAGTTTTAATGTACGTGATAGGGTTCACATACTGAAGCAGTATGTTGCTGAGAGTCACTCCTAGACAAACAAAATTCAGACATGTTGACTCTAGATGACACATAAGAACATAAGAAATGAGGAACACTGCAACAGGCCTGTTGGCCCATACTAGGCAAGTCTTTAAGTACACGTCGATGTGGTCAGTCCATCAGTCTTGAATAGAATGTTGCTTACACTTCTTGATATAAATCCCAGTAATCTGTTTGCCCTATTTCGTACACTTAGGCATTGCTGTCTTGGTTTAAGGTTGCTGCTTATCATAACCCCCAAGTCCTTTTTGCAATCTGTATGGCTAAGTTTTACATTATTTAACTTGTAAGTGCTAGGGTTGTGGACACTCCCGAGCTTCAGAACCTTGCATTTATATACATTGAACTGCATCTGCCACTTTTCTGACCAGGTATTGAGTTTGTCTAAATCCTCCTGAAGTTCCCTGATATCTACGTTTGAGTCAATTATCCTACCAATCTTTGTGTCATCGGCGAATTTGCTCATTTCACTAGTAGTTCCCTCATCAAAATCATTGATATATATTATAAACAACAACAGGCCCAAGAGTGATCCCTGTGGAACGCCACTTGTTACAGATCCCCACTCGGATTTAACCCCATTTATGGACACACTCTGCTTCCTGTCTGTGAACTTTTTTATTTTTTTTTTTTAAATTACCCTCCTCCTCACACCCCTCACAGCCATGAATACAAAGGGGTTCTTTGTTATTAAAAGTCCAATGCCAAAATCGTATTTGCTCAGAATTTAGTATGATTTATAGTAACACTTGCTTTGACTTTTACGAAGAGAAGTCTTCTCAGTCAAGAGGCTAGTAACCCCTTTTATATAAATTACTAGATTTAAAAAGAAAAACTTTAGTTTTTCTTTTTAAATCTAGGGTGACGTAAAAAGAAAAACTTTAGTTTTTCTTTTTACGTCACCCTACCTCTGTGGGATATGGTTGGTTTATTGGAAAAAAAAAGTCTTCTCAGTATGCTGTACTTTCAACATTAACTCTTTTTTATGCCATGTTTTTGTCTTTTTTTTCTCGTGTGTTTACCTTTATATTAATATAAATATTTACCCACACAGATACTTCAACTTGAGCCAACAGTACGGAAAGACTTCACCAGGTGGATAAGCGGTGTTGTAAAGGCACTGTCAAAAGTGTAGTTGAGCAGTGCTTGACAAAATTTTTTTATATGGTTCTTTACACACAACAATTGAGTTTGATGTACTGTATATTATTATGCATGTATATGTACATAAGAAAATCCTGATTTATGTGTATGATTACAACACTGTATATTTTATACATGCATGAACTGTACATTCCATGGGGGAGTGGAGAAGAATCCTTCCTCAGTAAGCCATGCATGTTGTAAGAAGTGACTAAAATACCAGAAGCAAGGGGCTAGTAACCCCTTCTCCTGTATATATTACTAAATGTAAAAGGAGAAACTTTCGTTTTTTCTTTTGGGCCACCCCGCCTCGGTGGGATACGGCCGGTGTGTTGAAAGAAAGAAGAAAGAAAAAGAAGAAAAGCTTTTGTTCCTTCTTTTTTGAGTCACCCTACCTCAATGGGAGATGGCTGATGTTTAAAAAAAACTACATATGTAACCTAGGGTGATTAAAAAAAAACATGAAATTAGATCTACGTTCATGTGCATAGCACTCCGAACATAGATCTACGTTTTTTTACATGCTTTCAAATGGAGAAGATATAGGTTGGAGCACTACGCACGGGAACGTAGATCTACATTTGGACAGTTTAAGATTATTGGGTAATTCTTATTATTGCATAATATATCATTAGCTTAGTTTTTTTTTCTGTTTTGATTTACAGTGTACAATACGCTGTTAGATAGGAGTGAGTTAAGACAAATGGTTTTTGGGACTTGAAGAGCTGTTGGAGTGTGATCAGGGTAATATTTTGTGAAGGGATTCAGGAAAACGGTTAGCTAGAGTTGAGTCCTGGAGGTGGAAGTACAGTGTTTACACTATAAAGGAGAGGTTCAGATATTTATTTGGAGATGCATCTGAACTGTTAAATCTGCACACCTCTGGCAAGACAGTGATAATGTGAATGATGGTGAAAGGTTTTCTTTTACAGGTCACCCTGCCTCATTAGGAGAAGGCCAGTGTGTCAAAAAAAAAATAAAATTCTACATTCATTAATTAGATTACAGTCTCTCCTCACTTAATGACGTACTCATTTACCGATAACTCGGAGTTACGACGGGCTCTCTGACCAGTATGCAAACCTAAATAATGTATATTAGAACTGATTTCATCTATTCTGTTTATTACAATATACAGTACACTATTGTGTAAACATTTAAAAATACACCAGAAATGTTATAAATGGTACAAAAGTGACATTAAAAAAATACCTGAAGATGGTTGACACAAGCCCACTACCAGTATAGTATGCTCCTCGCTTAGTGATGAATTCTTTTATCGACGTGGTCTTAGGAACAGAACTCTTTCGTTAAGTGAGGAGAAAGTGTATTTTTGGTTAGTTTTCAGTATGAATTGACAAAACTTTTGTATGAGTGAGATTACAAAAATAAAATAAAATTTGTGCATTTAATAGTTCTAAAGTTCAGTATTAGGTTATGAAAAATTTATAATATTATTGTGCATATTGCTGTTACAGTGAGGCCTGACTGGCCAAGTGAAAACTCCCATTCATGGCAAATACGGTAATGTAAAATTATGCAACAACCAATAAGTAGTGATGCTAATGAGTAATGGTGACTGTGGTGGATAAAAATGAGATTGTTTTGCCATGATTGTAACAATAGTGAACAATTCTTTAACTAATGAACTTTGTTATTTTTGAATTAAATGACCCAGCAGGTTTTGTCCCATCTTGTGAAGTTCTGGAGATGGGAAGTACAGTGTCTACACTCTAAAGAAGGAGTGAGGATATTTGCTGTTTGGAGAGATCTGAACTGTCATATCTGCACACCTTTGGCAAGGCAGTGATAGTGTGAATCGTGATGAAAGTGTTTCTTTTTTGGGTCACCCTATCTTGGTGGGAGACTGGCAGTGTGTTAAAAAAAAAAAAACTAGAGGTGGAATAATAGTGACCGCTTTCCACATTCCTTTCAGACGCTCTGCATCAGATGAACAGAGCATGTATTCACCATAATCATGGTCATAATTTTTTACTACATGGTTAATCTTTAGTTGTACCTATAGGTCACTTCTTCAGAGTTGTGGGGTACCTTCATGATGAATGACTCATGATCAAAGGAATTAGAGCTGCCCTTCCTTTCTTTGGATCAAACCTGATACCTTCCAAGGGTCCACCCACCCTTCTGACCTTGTCAGAATACGAGATATTTTATGATATGACATTAACCTTGGCTAGCAACCCCTTTTTTGGAAGATTCTGTGATGCTGATGAGCTTTTAATCCAAGGAACCGGACCTGTAGTATTCTCTTTGCTTAAACCTGATTGCCTCCCTGTCCCCAGGTGTTGTATGATTCCTCTTATGGCTTTAGTGCTTCCCCATAAATATAATAGTGAATTGGCCAACAGCATGGGCAAAGAAGTGCAAGATAATTCACAGAAGGTGAACTCGATAATTTTAACTTGGACGTGTCTGATTTCCAATTAAAGCATGATACAATCATGCCTCATGGACTCGGCATTATTACATTCTGGAGAATAGGTAGAATAAGCCACAGAAAGCAAAAAGACTTGCAGAGGATGCAACATCCCCCCAAAGAAAAAGCAGGGGTGTCACTTTCTATTCACGTTAAGAGACCATACAATAAGTGTCAGGGCCAAGACTGTAAACAGCCTCCCAGCATACATAAGGGATAACCAATAAGACCCCTCTGGCAGTCCCTTCAAGCTGGCACTGGACAAGCACCTAAAGTTCGTCACCTACCAGCCAGGCTGTGGCTCGTACATGTGGTTTGCAATGCAGCCAGCCTAGCAGTAACAGCCTGGTTGACCAGCGCTGACCACCATGAGGCCTGGTTCTCAGACATCGAGTGCAGCGGTCGTTGACCCCCCCGGAACACTCTTCCCTGTATTATCCACTCCTGGCTGTCTCAAGAAAGGCCACTCTCCCATCAAGAAGGTTCCATGATGTTTTGAGGGGCCTTTTGCTTATTATAGGAATTGAAACTGTGCTCCTCCAGTTCCCACAATTAAGCCTGATGGCTTCCACATCCCGCCCCCCCTAGTGCTGTATAAATCGCCCCTCCGGGTTTACGCTTCCCCTTTGATTATGAATATATCAAGAATTCACAGTACAGGCACCTTAGGTCATACCTGACCAGCCAGGCGTGCACTTTGTATGCAGTTTGCATGCTGCCAGCAGTAACAGCCTGGTTTATCAAACTCAAATCCGACCACGAGGCCTGGTCTCCGGACCGGGCCAAGGGGGGCGTTTACCCCCGAAAACCCCTCTGAGGCAGGAGGCCAGTATGTTCAGTAAAGAAAGGGTCAGGATCCAATTCCTTGGTCAAGAACCTTTTCACCAGCACAAGGAAGCTCCATTATAGGGCTAATGAAGTTTAGAGCACATAATTAACAATTGAGGGTTTTAAGATTAAACATGGGACATATTTGAGTGCAATAGTAATAAGTAAAACATTTCAGCTTTGAAAGAGATATAGAATGCGCTGTGGGTCCGCAGTTATGATGGGTCCCCCACTTTCTAAACAGGAGCATTAACCCCCTTTCCATAACTACAGTACTACCAGCGGGATTTGATGGTGGATTCTTAATGTATATGTACATGTATATAGTTTGGGAGTAAGGAGTGCTTGTCTGACTAAAATATCCCTAAACTTAAAGCCATCAGCAAAAAGATGAAGCCTCCTCAAGGAAGGATTCCTTGATGTTGGTGAGGGCTCATGATTTAGGAATTGGATCTGTGCTCTCATTTTCCCCGAATTAAGCCTGAATGCACTACCACATATCCCCCCCAGGCGCTGTATAAGCCTCCGGGTTTAGCGCTTCCCCCCCTTGATTATCAATAATAATAATAAAAGAACTAGATATGTGATCTGCAAGTCTGTATGACCCTTGTGGGTTTAGTGCTTGGTTTGATTAAAGAAACCCTGACTACTAAAGTATTCTCTGGATGTTTACTGTAGAGAGTTCGGGCTCAACGCCCCCGCGGTGCCCAGTCTGGTGACCCAGGCCGCCTGGTGGATCAGAGCCTGATCAACCAGGCGTAGTTGACTGCTGGCTGCACAACCGCAATCAAAAAAACCAATGGACGAGCCACTGCCCGGACTGGTTCAGGAACCCCCCCTCAAGAAAGTTCTTGATGTTGGGTGAGGGGCTCTTGCGAATTCAGGGAATTGGATCTGTGCTCCAGTTCCCCAATTAAGCCTAATGCCTTCCACATGCCCCCCCCCAGGCGCTGTATAATCCTCCGGGTTTACGCATCCACCGCCTTGATTATAATAATAATGGTCAGAACCGACTTTAGTGCCTGTCCAGTGCGCTGCTTGAGACAGCCGGAGTCTATTGGTAATCCCCCTTAATGATGCAGGAGGCAGTTGAACAGTCCTTGGTCCCCTGACACATATTGTATGGTCTCTCACGTTGCTAGGACACCCCTGCTTTTCATGGGGGGAATGGTTCATCCGTCTGCCAAGTCTTTTGCTTTCGTAGTTTTACCTGGAGAGAGTTTCTGTGGGTCAACGCCCTCCCCGCGGCCCCGTCTGAGACCTATGCCTCCTGGGATCAGAGCCTGATCAACCAGCTGTTGCTGCTTGGGCTGCACGGCAAACCAACATACGAGCCACAGCCCCGGCTTTCCGGGACTGACTTTAGTGCCTGTCCAGTGCCAGCTTGAAGACGTGCAGGGTCTGTTGGTAATCCCCCTTATGTGTGCTGGGAGGCAGTTGAACAGTCTCGGGGCCCCCTGAACACTTATGTATTGGTCTCTTTAACTCTTAGTGAACCCCTGCTTTTACATTGGGGGATTGTGCACATCGGTCTGCCAAAGTCTTTGCGAGTGATTTTTTTCTGGTGCAAGTTCGGTACAGCTAGTCGTCCTCTAGATTTTCCAGGTATATAATCATGTACTCGTCCTCGCCTGCGTTTCCAGGGAATACAGTTTAGGAACCTCAAGCGCTCCCAGTAATTGAGGTGTTTATCCTCCGTTTATGGCGCCTGAAGGTTCTCTGTTCATTTTCTAGGTCAGCAATTTCACCTGACCTGCCTTGAAAGGTGCTGTTTAGTTGTGCAGCAATAAACTAGCCTAGATAGAACAAACGAGACCTGAAAGTGTCCATTAATGGGCTTGGCCTCCCTAGTTTTGAAGGTTCTTCAATATCCTTCCTGTCATTTTTCTAGCAGATGCGATTGATACAATGTGATGGGCCTTGGAGGTGAATCCTCCGACATGATATCACTCCCAGGTCTTTGACGTTGTGTTATTTTCGCACTATTTCGTGCCAGAATTTTGTTTTGTACTCTGATGAAGATTTAATTTCCTCGTGTTTACCATTAATCTGATAATTGAAATTCTCTATCGTTGAACTTCAGATTGTTTTTCTGCAGTTCCCACTGAAAGATGTGGTTGATGTCACGGCCTGGAGCCTTGCAGTGTCTGCAATGGAAAGACCTGTCATGCAGATTCGGGTGTCATCTGCAAGGAAGACACTTGTGCTGTGGCTGACATCCTTGTCTATAGTCGGATATGAGATGAGGAACAAGACTGAAAGCGAGAACTGTGCCTTTGAACAGAGCTTTCCAGCCGTAGCTGCCTCGGACTTGACTCTGTTGACGACTACTCGCTGGGTTCTGTTAGCGAGGAAATAACAGAACCATCGACCGACTTTTTCCTGTTGATTCCTATAGCACGCATGGGTTGCGCTTTTAACGGCCATGGTCACACTGTCGAAGGTTTTTGCAAAGTCTGTATAAAGTACATCTGTCATTCTTTTGCCTTCTAGTGCATTTAGGACCTTGTTCGTAGTGATCCAATAGTTGAACAACAGGAGCGACCTGTTCTAAGACCCATGTTGCCGCTGGGTTGTGTGTAACTGATGGTTCCTAGATGGTGGTGATCTTGCTTCATAGTTAGGACCCTTTTCAAAGACTTTTTAAGATATGGATTTATGTTTTTTTTTGGGGGGGGGGGGGGGGGCATCGGTCTGTAGTTCTTTCTGTTGCTTTACTGCCCCCTTTTGTGGAGTGGGCTATGTCTGTTTTTTTTAGTAAGCTGTGGGACGAACCCCCTTGTCCATGCATCCTCTCCAAGGATGAAAAGGCTCGTGATAGGGGATTCATGCAGTTCTTGATGAACACGGAGTTCCCTGAGTCCTGGCCCTGGGGCAGAAGTGCATGGCATATCATTTATTCGCCTGTTCGAAGTCATATGGCGTGGAAAAAAAAAAATTCTTCATAGTACAGTGAAGTGTTGTCAGTGCTTCCATGGTGGACGTTGTATGACCCTGGCGGTTTTATAAGTGCTTAATTTTAATTAATAATAATAGTCTTCTTTGGTGTAGATTGAGCATCTGATTCAAATGGGGGTCATTGCAAGGTTTTTTATGGAAGAGAAGCCCTGGAGGACTTCGTACAAGTGTTGTTGTGTTTGATTACCTTGAACATATTTAACACAAATTACTGTATATTTCTTCATGAGTAACAAGTGATTTAGATAGTCACATTGCAGGGATTATGGAGAAGTGAATGTGTAGCGATATATGGGAGTTTAACTTGCCACAGCTGGGTTTAATGAAGGATGAAGATCTAATCATAGAATTGATGCAAGGGAAAAAGTGGTGGGTCTTTGAAATATCGGTTCAGTACAAAATACGTTATACATAGAGTGCAAAGAGGGAATATACA